ATTTTTAATAGTTTCATCATATGAGATATCAGATAACGTTTGTTAAGCACTTTTAGCTATGTAGCTTTAAAACTGGTACAACGCTTACGCCTTCATATACTACAGGAAATACACTTTTCGCATTTATATTAGGTATGGACTATGGAGGTAATAGTAAATAGTGATGCACGAAGAGTGTGAGTGGATGGTTGAAGCAAAGGTAGGCCATTATGTCAGAAAACATTAACCAATTTTTGGAACGAAGTTCCTTATCGCGCGTTACACGCTCTAAGCGGATGGGAGCTAGACAGAGAAAAATGTAATCTGTACTGTAACTGTAATCTCTTCGGCTTTTTTTAACTTTTATTTATATTTTTATAGTAAACTAGCGGCTCACCCTCACTTCGCTCGGGTTTGTCGCTAGATACGTTTTAAACAGATATAAATAGTTATTAGCCAGCGTTGGCCATTACATATTTTTTTTTGTTAATAATATTGACAAATACTGGCCTTAATATTTATACGATACTAACGTCACTCAATTGTTTTGCCTTCCCGGAACCTCTCCACTAACACTTAAACTTTATGGTATGGTATTGACTTTTAAGTATTATTACGAATCTTTTGTATGGAAGTATAGAAAATTGTTGTTTTAAGACTTTTTCAGGCATTTTTTTAATTTTTTCTCTCCGTAAGAACAATCCTCGTACTTCAAGGAATATTCTAAAAAAGAATTAGCGAAATCGGTTCAGGTACTCTCGAGTTTTGCGCTTGCCAACACATTCAGCGATTCATTTTTATATTATAGATTTTCTAAAATTGAAAAAGTATTAATAATAAAATAAGATTTATACAGTTCTTAAATTTTTATTTGTTATAAACTTTACTATCCCAGAATATTTAGTGTTTAATTTATCAGTTTATTATATACATATGTAATGAATATATTTTATCGGTAATTTTTTAATTGAACTCTATCAAATTGATATTTTATAATATAAATTATAATGACTTATAGCAAACGTCTACCAAAAAGCGAAAGGAACTTCCCCCTCATTTTTTTTATTAAACTCCCTATAACTGATCAAGCACTCAATATAATAGGTTCCGAATATTATTAAAAACACAAAGGCATTGATACTTTAATATAACACGAGTTCTATTCAAAACAAATCGATATTGGTATTCAGATGATCAATTGGTAGACGCTATGTGATAATATGTTTAATAGTAAGCAATTATTTTATGCAAATACCGACAGTAAACAAATGAATGTAATATAATGAAAATGGCACGAAGCCAGCAGTTTATCCTTCTATGATTCATCGGATCGCCAGGAATCGTATAATTCTCTACTCGACGATGTTACAAAAGGACAATTTTTTCTAGATGCCATGCCAATAAAACTTAGTGTGATGTAAAAATTGAAGCAGGACAAACACATTGGGGTCAAAGACCTTTAATGTTGTAATATACCTAAATGTTTTTTAAGATAAAAACCTCTATATAGTATTAAGCCGTGGTAGAAAAAGTTGAGCTTAAATTGTGAGTCACTACGCGTATCCATTTTGTAAAGAATATAACGTTGAAATTGTTACTCAGATGTACCATAATTTAAAAAAATGCATATTATTTTACATATATTTAATATATTATACCTATATAATAAACTAGCGACTCACCCTTGCTTCGCTCGGGTTCTTCCCTAGCTTGATTCCCCATACAAACTTTCATCCCCATTTGCACCATCTTAGGGGATGATTTTTGGGATAAAAACTATCCTATATCCTTCCCAAGGTCTCAAACTATCTTCTTACCAAATTTCATCTAAATCGGTTTAGTAGGTCCAGAGAAAACCCCCTACAACGTCACCAACTCACAAACTTTACCTCTTTATAATATTAGTATAGTATAGACTAGCATTGTCCACGGCTTCGCATTTACTTATAAGCATAGTAATTTATATTTGTCTCCATTAGGACTTTTATATAACTAACGATATCCTTTAAACTCCCTTAAATACGGCCCTGTAACAAAATCCGTTCTTACCTGACGCCTACCTATAAACTACCCACCTGCCAAATTTCAGCTTCATAGTTCGTGTTTATTTAGTGAGTTTAATGAACTGTTATTTGAAAAAAGAACGACAACGATTCTTTTATTTAAAAAAAGAACAATTTAATCAGGCTTTACTTTATTCAATATCATTGACAAATAGTATGAATATAAAATAAAAATAAAAATGTAATATGTATAGATTACAACTAAATAAGTTTCATACATGACATGACATGACATGCCATTTTAGAAAAAACTATTTTATACAGTTTTTTATATCATATAAAGTATTATTAGTTTGTTTTAGTGAGGTACATGTGTATGTATATAGTTATAGCACATTAGATTTAAAATTGTTTTGTTATATAAATATACATATATTAGCTAAATTAATTTGAAGGTATGTTTATTGTAGATATTATAGAAAGACTATTATAAATTTTCGAACTCACTTTATCTAGTTCCGGATATTGGACATTGGGGAGGCTCCGGAAATTCGTCTATCGATCCACTCTATAGCACTTCATGTAATTTTATGTAGAATCATCTAATAGAATGGTGTTATGAAATGTAAAATCTTACAAACTTTTAAGAGCAGATAAACAAAGCCTATTTGGCTTTGTTTTATGGAAGACCTTTAACCCTGAGAAATAATAAACGTCATTTCGAAACAACTGCAGTAACATCCTAATTTTACCTAGTTATGCGAGTTCTGTGAAAATTAGTTGATCATTAGTGAAGGGCAATAGCTGGTCAGGTTCATAAGCCACGATAACAATATACAAAGCAAAATAAGTCTTATGATGTTTACGAATGCATGCTAAAATCCTGTGAGATCTAATGAAAGATGTTTCTAATGCAAACCTTTAGTAGTCAAAAACCATTAAAAATTGACCAATCACCAATTCAGGTCAATTATAATAACCATAGATTTATACAGACTTGATGTGTAGAGGTGGCGTACTTGTCAGTAAAACTGGCGCAATAGGTTTATTTCTAATAATATGTAAATACATATATTATCTATTCAATAATTGTTTCAATGCAAAGGCGAAAGCGTGGCACTAAGGGCTTTCACGTACATACATGTGTTAGCACTGAATATTATTGTTAATATATTCTAAATATGTGCAATTTAGCTTAATTTTTTTTACTTTTACACAAATATTTTTTTTATTGGCTGTGTATAGTGTTTCCTTTATCTGGAATGCTTTTTGTTCTTAAAAAAATGAAAAGTCGATTTTGGGGGGAAATCATAGAAATGAAGTTTTATAAGTATAATATGGTTTCAAGTTTTATTGTGTGTTTGTTTAGTTTTCACGTAAAGAGCCAGCCATATAAATAATTGTCTCTACTCTCTTCCAAGTAAGTCAACGCGCGATAGTTAGTTATCATAGGAAATGCATATCAACGTGCCTAACAGAGGTCTATTATTAAAATTGAATTGACCAATACGGAACAAGCAAGTCCTTTAGTAAATTTCTTTACAGAGTCTATTAAGAAGTACATTAATTTCTCAATAATGAATTATAAAAATAATAATTATATTATTTGAGAAATAGTAGAGTTCACGTAGGATAAGTGGGTATTTCCCCCCCAACGTGCGTTCACCTTGTCGTGGTGGGGGGGCTCAGTAGTAGTAGCGAAGCTAAGAAACGCACAGGGAGGTTGCCCACTTCGGTGGGCGGTGGGAGGTGGCCCTCTTCGGGGGGCAGTGTACCTTGCGGGTTGCTCCTGGTACTTCTCTGATAGCAGAGTGGACCTTGGAGCAACCCCATGGTTGTGGTGGTCTGCTTTGGCAGACCTGCCGTCGGGGCGTCGTAGTTGAATGCGTAAGCGATCCTGCGACGCCCCATTAAGACGGGGGAAGGTTTTGTTGGGTTTTGGTGGGTAGTACTGGCTGTATTACGCCGGTGAGTCCCACACGTCGTGCGTAAATGCATTTCCCAACGTTAAAAAAAAAGGATAAGTAGGTATTTATTGTATTACAATATTGTAAGCAAATATTATTTTAAAAGAGCAACTGTTGAGTTTCTCGCCTGCTCTTCTCAGTAGATCTATCTTCCGAGCTGGTTATAGATTCCTCACGGACGTACATTGTGACATTTAATTTAAATTTTGAAAATTTAAAATTGACGATTCAAAAGTGCTTGTAATAGTCTATTTGAATAAAGTATATTGTGATTTGATTTGATTAATCATTTTATTAATATATATTTCTAAACATGTACATAATATAGATTCTTTAACAGATTATATTGTATACAGCGATAAGTTTTAAGATAAGCTTTATGGAAGCTTTAAAAGCGAGAGGTAATTTTTTTTATTATAAAGAGTCAAAGGACCAAATAAAATAACCAATAAAGTTCATGGCTGACAAGATCAAAAATAGATTGGCGTTGTATGAGCATCATTATTGACTCAATTGTTTCCTTCCGTTTGAATACTTGTTTTTTCTTTAATGACGGTCGACATTATTAATTAATATACGTAATTATTTCGTTGTGAAAATTTTATTTTAAAATACTGGTCTTTAAACTAAAATAATACAATTTAAAAAAAAAATAATTATTAAATTATTTGCTTAGTAATTATAATTAATAAATTGTTTGATTCCTACTAAAAAGGTTATAATATTTTATGAACTAGAGAAAAGTGGAGTTAGCAGATACGTATTGATTTTGATTTCTTATAATTGAAAATTACTGTACAAATGACAATTTTTGTTAATTTCATTTTAAGTAATATATTGAATTAGAAATATATTTTCAGTGATTACTGTCTTTATTGAATATGTATTTAAAAACAATTATTTCCGCCATTCACATTTTATTTGATTTGTTAAATAATTTAATTACAAATACGTAGTCCTTTTAGAGAGATGCCTATCAGCTGAATATAGCTCTATGCCAACTACCCCCATTTCTTTTGACCGCTTCGTTTAATTTAGAAAAATTTCTTACCTCATTTTTATTTTTGCACCAATTTCCTCCGCATCTGATGCATTCGTTGCAACTTTTCAAATTATCGAAATCCGAGCAATCGCGTTGAACTGCAATAACTTGTTGAATAAAAACTAGAACTACCACTATATTCCACAAAGTCGCCATTTTTCTACAGTATTAATAAATAATTAAAAAAAAATATATCAAGCACTAGCACAATATTTTTATGAAAAAACGTATAAATCGCCTACAAATAATATGCTCAGCGCTATTAGTAATACGCGTGAGTTTCGACGCGAGAGGGCGAAGACTGAACGAGTGTAGTCTGTATGACAGCTCACTGCGGCCGAGCGACCTCTCTCCCACTTCATCAGACACCACGGAGATGATTCATCACTAGAGGGAAACTCGCGGAAACGGTGTTTTCTAAGAAAACAAATATAGTTCTAAGACGTAATTAGTGTTTAGTAAGAGCATAATATGACATAGCTATTATACTCGTATTGGCCGACTTCAAAAAAGGAGGATGTACGTTTTTATGTGTATGGAGAGCGACATTTTCGCCAGTTTTATGATTTTCTTTATGTAATGAAAATGAAAAATTCTAGGCCTATATGTATGTATTTTAAGTACTTTTTAAATGAAGTGCACATTTTTAATTAAAAAATACATATTTCTTACGAATGTTTTAATTTAGGATTTTAAGCCGAAAATTGAACTTGTAGTGTGAGTTAACCCGTTCAGTGCCACCGACTCGCCCTGTGAGTTTACGTTAATTTTATTCCAGTGCCGGGGACTCGCGCGGCGACTTCAGTGTGTTTCGGTAATATTTTCAAAACGCTTCTGTATATTCTGTTCAAAATTACGGTGTAGACTTAATATGATGTCATGTTCACGTTTACATGGTGGCCTGGATGTAAAGAAATTTTTTACATTTAAATGAAAAAAAATATTCTGCAATGCCGTGAACTCTAGCGAGTTCAATGCCGCAGATTCTCAAATTTTAACGTCGTCAACACAATAACTTCGATTTTTAGTAGGTTGATGTGGCGTTCACTGTAAAATGTAAATCTATATAAATAAAAATGAATCATCGAAATATATTTACACGCATAACTTCCGATCAACTGCACCAAATTGGATATTTCTTTTTTTTTGTATTTTTTATTGTTAGGACAAGTTTCGTATAGAAGAAAATTAAAAGATTTTTTACAAAAAGATTTTTTTTCATCTCGTATATGAAAGTGAGTGAAATAAATAGTTTTTATCCCGGAAGTCATCCCTTAAGGGGGTGACAATGGGAATGAAAGTTTGTATGGGGAAGCAAGCTAGGCACGACACCCGAGCGAAGCTAGGGTAAGTCGCTAGTTATGAATAAAAATATTTTTTTTCTCTTTATAATATTCGTTGAGATTCCAATGGTTAAGATACTAACAATAAACAAAAAGTATACCTAATAAAGAGATATTATTTTTATTCAGAAACACTCGCAGTCCCAGCCTTTCGCAAATTTTATTAGGTTCATACTTTAGATGATAAATAAGGAAACAAAACAGGTACTAGAGTTAACTATAAATATATAGTTACAGTGTCCCATTTACCCTTTTCGGAATCTTTTATATAAATGAACGCAGACATCACAAATTTACAACACAATATAGGGTGGCCCGTTCTCAGAAAAGTAGACTTTATTATTGTCATATTTATATTGCATTTACAATTTTAAGACAAATAACATTGCGCCGGCGCGCGGTCCTTCTAAACAAAAGCACTGATAACATTGTTTTTCACGAATCTCTCATTGGGTAATCCTAAGTCCCACTCCAAGGACGCAAAACATTTCGCCGATTGGACCCTTATTCGTGACGTCATTGACTACTCTTGTAAACCACGGTAAACTTTTTTCTAATGTCATATCAGTGATTTGTACGACCCTTTCGTCATCACATGCGTTCACCTGCTCCATTTTGAATCTTCGTCATAAGGCTCCGTTTCTGGGACTAATAGCACTAAAAAAACAGGTTGTTACTTATTGTCAAATATCAATTATATTATTTAAAAATATTATCTATTATTGTAAATACAGTGTAAACTCTTTTTTATAACGAAACTCAAGAGACTGAGCATTTTTTGTCGTTATAGAGAGTTATCGTTATATGGAGTGAACAAAAAAAAAACCAAATTAACAAGAATTTTTAATACAAGAATTTTTAATTGTATGTATGTCTTAGATAATGAATGCTAATATGTACATATAAATTATTGTTTACACATATAGTCTGATAATTTCGTCTGACGTTTTTTGCTATGCCAGTACTTGTTTTGTATTATTTTATGTATTCTGTTCATATCTAGATATGTGGTGGAATCGTCTTGATTAAACAACAAAAAATTTTCTACCAACTTAGCGGCATCTAGGGCTTGTTGAATTGTTGGTGGTGATTCGGCTTTGTCCACTTGATCGTCTTCTTCATCTTGATTATCGGATGTTTCCTGACTTTTTGACACTAAATCAACAATTTGTTCATCTGTAAGTGTACCAGTTGTGGCTACATCCTCATCTATATTTTCGTACGATTGTAGATCTTCGTTAAAATTGTTTGGTATATTGAACTGGTTTATCCATTCACTCAGTGGTAGATTGTCTTCACTGTTAAATTGGTTCGTTTCTTGGCTACTAGATAATCCAGCATGTCGAAAAGAATGTTGGATAGTGGCCGCTATTACCTCTTGCCAGGCTTTTGATATGAAGTTCACTGCTTGTAGCATGTTGATCGAGACCTTGCCGTCAGTTTCTATCATATCCATCAACATTTTCCGACTATAGTGGCCCTTTAGGGATTTAATTACACTCTGATCCATTGGTTGTAAAATACTGGTTGTATTAGCTGGGAAAAATGCTAACTCTATGTTTCGAAGATTAGATATGATTGGGTGAGCAGGACAATTGTCTACTAGAAGCAAGATTTTTCGTGATTTTAATTCAGCATCCCATTTTCTCACTTCCTCTTCAAAAATCTGCGATGTCATCCAAGCTGACTTGTTTGCTTTGTACGTAACTGGCAACTGTTTTATGTTCTTGAAACACCGAGGGTTTTTCCATTTGCCTATAACTAAAAGCTTTCTTTTTTCTGTGCCACTTATATTGGCAGCCACTAGAACTGTAATGCGCTCTTTAGACAGTTTTCCTCCAACACATTTTTCCCCTTTGAATTTTAAAGTTTTGTCGGGAGTCAACTTGAAAAAAAGGCCAGTTTCATCTGCATTAAAAATGTCTTCTGGTGAGTATTTCATCTTTAAATTAGGCCACACTGTACTAATCCAATTGTTAGTCACATTCATATCGACATCCCACGCCTCTCCGTTCATTTTACCGTACGTAATTTGATGACGGTGCTTAAATTTTCCGAGCCAACCTTCAGATGCTTTAAAGTCAATTATGCCAAGTTGGTTGGCAAACTTTTCAGCCTTAGCTTTTACAATTGGCCCCGAGATGGGTACATTATTCTGGCGCTGATTGTTAAACCACGACAACATTGCCTGACTAAACTAAGTCTTCGAATTTTGGCTTTCTTAATTTTTTAGACAAGTTTCCTTCCAGCGCCGCCTGTAGAATTGTTTTTTGGTTTTTCCAAATGGTAGCAACAGTGGATTGACTTAGTTCAAAACGCCTTCCAACGTCACTTTTCTTTTCTCCCTTTTCAATCGCACGTATCACACAAACTTTTTCGTCAACACTAATCGCTTTCCGTTTACTGGCCATGTTAACAGTTTCAAAGTAGGTTTACCGACTGATAATACGATAGGTACCCAGTATGCTTGGTCGAAGACCATCACTTCCGAGAAAACAATGCGTCATACTGCACGTGTACAAGGCAATTAAGGATAACAAAAGCTAGACCGACCTCGGATGTTTCGGAGCTTCAAAGTCTTTTGTTACCTGATAACATAACATAAACAATAATACCGATAATAAATATTTACTGTCTAAAAATATGAACACATTTCTTCGTAATAGAGAATGGCGTATCGCTATAAAGAGTGTTTCAATATGTGAGTTTTAACGCAAACCAACCAACTTGGGCTCACTCCAACGTTATAGGGAGTTTATCGTTTATAAAGGATAACGTTATAAAGAGTTTACACTGTAATAATAAATAGGTACAATGTTGATTTATTTCAGTTTAAATTATTTTAAATACAAAAATAATTGAATTTATTTCCTTTTATTATTAGCGTTGCAATAAAAACGAATGGTATATATTTTTAGAAGTTGATAACATATTCGTAGAACTAGGAGACAGCGTTAAATATTCAGAGCGAAATTGCTGTTCAGAAATATTATTAGTACAAAATATAACATTAAAAATAACCACTGTATAAAAAGTTGACCACTGCCTAAATTACGAAACAAACTTACCTTTTATTTTATCCTTTGAGTTTTTTGCCATGTTTTTAAGTTAAAACACACTGAATAGTCGTCAAACACTTTATACTTCCGATACAAACGTTACGGAGACTAAGACAGCCACAATAATAACAAAAGATAAATTTTACCCTTACATAATGCCAGTGAACTCGCGTGGCGAGTCCATTCAAATTATATTGTAGTGCCGGCGACTCGCTTGGCGAGTCCAACGTGAAATGTATGCGGCATCCGCGAAGACATCATGAAAATCGTAGTGGCATTGAACGTGTTAAAAAAGGATCTGGATAGGTAGTTATAATTGTGCGCGTTATCCGCATGTGTCAAAAAGCAGTAATGGCTATAATATTTTAAATTTAATTTAACCTTCATTTTGTAATATTAAAGTTATATTATTATTTGTCGGACTACTATTGTTTGTGAAAGTTTGTATGTATGTGTGTGTATAGGTTTGTCACTTCACGCTGAAACGACCAGGCTTGGATAAAATTTTGTAGGTACCTACACAGATAGATTATAACATTAATTGTTTATATATTTTTTTTATAATCGGAATAATTATTATAAATATTAATACATATATTAAGAGAAAAAACTTAACTATGTCTATAGAAATTCAGAAAATATATTCATAATAAAAAAAGTGTAACTTATCTAATTCCCACAGGAAAACATAAAATATTTATGACCAAAATTACTTGGAACTTGGTACATATAACGCTCTTAAATAAAATTTAATAAATACGTGTTTTATCATTTTCGAAAATCATTTCATAAGAGGGTAAAATAGGGGATGAAATTTTGTATGAAACTACTTTTTTAGAATTATTTATGTAGTTTTAGCGCGAGCGAAGCCGCGTGTTCTGCTAGTATTATGTAATGTTAAACAACATTTCTATAAAAAGCAATTTAGTTAAAAGAGAGTCAAATTTTCTACAACAGTGGGGCGCGGAGAGGACACACTATCCCCTCCTGCAGTGTAAGGTCATCAAAGGCCCTTCAAACCACTATACCACTATCACCTGCGCACTCCAACTGGAGGCGTCCTAGGCTTGGGTGTCCCGCATCCACATGCGGACTGCTATCTGCGTGCCATTTGGTGGCGCCGCCAAATAAACTCTATATTATGTCGGGCTGCGATCAGGCCCTTCAATATGAGTACCTCCACGATCCCTCGTCTGCGTCTGCATTCAGAACGAGGTTTCATAGGGATAGAATTAGAGCAGGTCTATCCCTAACGCCTGCCGCACTGTGTAGAAACGGACTCCCCGTATCATGACAGGCAATGTTGTATTTATACTTCAAGTCAACAAAACTTCGATAGCGCGATTCAGGACTGTCGCACTATGTATTATATTGGGTCTTTTTTATGTATTAAATCTCAATTCCTCGAGAGATAAAGGGAATCCATCACTTTTTAATAAATGTAAAATCATTTTAAGGATATAAATAATTTTTAAGAACGTGTTACCTAACCACTTATGTGAAATATTTTAGCAGCACCATCTAGCGGTGAGAAAGGTAACTTCAAATACAATCAAATTAAATGTAAGCTTTTGTCAATTATCGCTTACGAGTATTCCTGAGCAAAAAATTTTTGTTTCTAACAAATTAAAGTTATACACAACATTCGTACTCATGGAAAAGTAACCATGTTATTACGAACATTTTATATTTATAATATTATGTAATATAAAAATGAATTCTTTAGATGAGTATAGTTAATGATATTAGTATAGTATTATATGATCTGTGTCATTACGAATATAATCAAGAGTCTAAAAAAATACGAGTAAATAAATAATACCTTTTTATTTTATGCTTTTGTGATATTCTGAAGGCATAAAATGACGCCTGGTAAAATATTATAGCAAGTTGATAATCTGCGTAAAATTAAATTCTATGTAGGTACATCTTTTTTAACTTTATGTATGTATATATATATATATATATATATATATATATATATATACGTACTCGTCTTTTTAAAATATTTTCATAGAACTTGGGAATTTTTTTATGCTTTGGAGATCTTTCAGATCTTTCTTTCAATTTACTGTTTATAGCAGTGAATATTACTGCTTTAAAGGTGCACCATTCTTAACACATTTATACACAGTACATATGTACATTTTTTCAATGTTTACGAATCTACTTATATTATCACATATTTAAAAAATAAAACAGATATTTTAGTCAAATGAGTTTATTCAAATTTCAAAATTAAGACCGAAAAGATCTCTTGCCAAATGCTGGGTTTTGGAAAGTATTTGTAGCTGGCTGGAATATAGGGTTATCGCACATTGCCGACGCAGCGACTTCTTTCTTAAAACGTTCAAACTCAAGTCGATCACGTCGGTCTGTAATGCACTTCCAAGCAATCAATGTCGCTAATCCAATTAATATCAACAGCAAAACACTCACACCACCTAATACTGTAACAAAATAACGTGTTTATAATTCAGAATAAAATACGTATCTACATTATACATTTAAATATGTATTTTACAATAAATAAAATAATTATTACAAACACATATTTATAATATAAAATATCTATTATCTATTCAGAAAAGCTAAAGTAGTTCGAAGAATAACCCGAATTAGCGCTGTCCAATTTCTTTCTATGGGATGGGGCATCTGTCCTAGTATTATGGCATCTGTAGTACACAGGTAGTCTACGGCTTGGAGTAACACATAGTAGCCTATGTGTTACTATGTAAGGCATCTAAGGAACCATTGCTAATCTATACTAATATTATAAAGAGGTAAAGTTTGTGAGTTTGTGACGTTGTAGGGGTAATATTTGGATTTACTAAACCAATTTAGATGAAATTTGGTAAGAAGATAGAAGGTCCTGGGAAGAACATAGGACACTTTTTATCCCGGAAATCATACCTTAAGAGGGTGAACATGGGGATGAAAGTTTGTATTGGTAAGCAGTTAGGGACGAACCCGAGCGAAGCGTGGGTGAGTCGCTAGTGAAATATAAAGTACTTACGATAATATGTCTCTGCATAATCCAAGTCAGATTGAATTTTCAACCGAATGCCATATGATTCCTCGCTATAGCTATATATAAATTGAGTGTAGCATCCTACATCAACCCGTAATTTTGGGCAGAGGTTCCAAATACCAGTCGAGTTCTGGGATGTTAAATTTTTTTCTTTCGTTATATTTACATTGTCGTAATAAATATAACCGTCTTCTTGCAAGTAGGTTAACACAAGTGGCTCTAAAATGGAACACTGTCGCTTGTGGCAGGACTCTTCTTCAGCGCATGACACGTTGCAATACTTGTCTTGCTTAGTTCTTACGTCCCAGTTAGCAGGGTCCTGACATTCACATTTACCACACGTACAGAGGCCTCTACCGTTGCATATTTTCTGCGAATGCAATATCAAAATATATATATTTTTAAATATCTCTTTGAAAATTAAATGTTAAGGATTCAGCCATTAATGAATCTTTACTGGAAATCATATTCAAATTGTAAAATTATTAAGTAATATCCCCAATAATATACATTAAAAGTAACAAAATTCTAGCATGGAAAAGTTAGTACTTAATATTGATGTTGTAATCATAAAAATAACGTATCTAATATGAAGTCTTATGTTAAATTTTTTGAATACAAAAACTTTTGTCATCGCTTAATCGGTGTGTATATATAAGTGTGCATTACTCGAGAACAGTGAATGGATTTTTGAACCTCATTTTTATCTGTTATAAACTCATAGTAACTTTTATTATTTTGGTACTTTAGCTTCTGTGTTATACGTGAAGTAGAAAAGAATGAAACAAGGAAATATGTCAGGAAATTGAGAACAATTTGTCTCCACTTCAATAATTCGATATAATTTGAACTAAAGAACAAAAAATAAGAAAGTCTTTGACGGTGTGTGCCGGATTTTGATGAAATTTAGTATACAAGGTAGTTGTAACCTGGAGATACATCGGGGAGAAGCGCGGGTAAATCGCTACTATATACTATTTATTACATACCATATTTATAAAATAACTAGCGGCTCACCCTCGCTTCGCTCGGGTTCGTCGCTAGGTACGTTTTAAATAGATAAAAATAGTTATTAGCCCGCGTTAGCCATATTCTTTTTTGTTAATAATATTGACAAATATTGACATTAATATTTATACGATACTAATGTCACTCAATGGTTTTGCCTTCCCGGAACCTCTCCACTAACACTTAAACTTTATGGTATGGTATTCAAATTCACTTTGAAGTATTATTACGAATCTTTTGTATGGGAGTATAGAAAAGTGTGGTTTTTAGACTTTTTCAGGCAATTTTTAAAATTTTTCTCTCCGTAAGAACCATCCTCGTACTTCAAGGAATATTCTAAAAAAAGAATTAGCGAAATCGGTTCAGCTGCTCTCGAGATTTGCGCTTACCAACACATTCAGCGATTCATTTTTATATTATAGATTTAACACGTTATTGGGTAACAATGAAATAAAAATTTGAATTAGGGAACAGAAAAGATAGATCAACAGAAAGAGATCAACTGACATCATCACGAGCGGAACAATCGGGGGGTGACGGGCACTTGCAGAGGTCGCCGTCCCAGCCAGCCTTGCACTTGCACGCCCCGCAGACGCACTCGCATCTATCGTCAGTCTCTAGCGGACAGGCGGTCTTGCACTCGCAATAGTTACCTTCGTATCTTAAAAAAATCACTTTAATTATAAAAATTTCAAGTTCAACGCAATTTTTATTTATAAAATATAGATTTTCATCCAATTAAGGGATGATTTCATGGACAAAAACTATTCTATGTCCATCCCAGGGGGTCAAACTATCTTCTTACCAAACTTAATCTAAATCAGTCCAGTATTTTCGGGGCTTTTTCGGTACAAGCATACAAACAAACAAACAAGCAAACAAACTGGTAATAAATCCATAATGATAATAAATGTTTTTCAACTATTTCGTATGATGTTTTCCTTCCCAATCTTAGAAAGTGACAATCGTGTTAAAATTGTTTAACATTTAAAAAGGCCAGAAGTGTGAACTGAGAGGCACGATTTTATTTTTACTTAATTTTCCAAGCGATCGCATTACCACTAGGCTACCACTGCACTGATTATTATTTACTAGCGATTCACCATCGTTTTACTCGGGTTCGTCCCTAGGTAGACTCTCCGTACAAACTTTCATCCCCATTTTCACATCCTTAACGGATGATTTCCGGAATCAAAAATATCCTATGTCCTTGCCAGGGTCTCAAACTATCTTCTTACCACATCTAAATCAGTCTAACAGTTTTTGAGTTTTGAGTTTATTCATTACAAACATACAAAAATACAAATCTCTTTATAATAGTAATGTAAATTCGGACTATTTATTATTATTATTAGGTATTGCATATATTGTATTTTATTTATCAATTATAACACTAAGTATTCTACAAGAGTCCCATTTAATAGCTTTAGATTTTTTAGTATAACTGTCCTTTAAATAATATTGTTAATTTATTTATCTATACATATAATAAAATTGTAACTAAGCCGAATCTGTACATTAAATATTTTTAGGAAAATCTTATTGAAATAGACATTATCGATACAGAGGCCGAATCAATAGTTTTTAGAATTTTTGGTCTATCTGTCTGCCTTTCTGTTACCGCATCACGAGAAGACTTCTAGACAGATTTTGATGAAATTTGGTATGATGATAGCTGCTTATCCGGGTCAACAAATCATTTAGGATACTTTTTATCGCGGGAAAATGTGTTATAGTTTTTAGAATTTTTGTCTGTCTGTCTGTCGGTCTGTCTGTTACCGCATCACGGAAAAACCACTGGAGGGATTTTGATGAAATTTGGTGTGGTGATAGTTGGTTATCCGGGTTAACATATAGGATACTTTTTACTCCGGGAAAATTTCTCATTTCTGAGAAAAAATACAAAAACTGCAATGTAAGAGTAAACTAATATGTAAAACCTTAGAATTTGGTTTTTGGTCATCTGAACGCGGGCGGAGCTGCGGGCAATGCTAGTGTTAAATAAAAATCTGACAAATTATGTGAGCTAGCAAAAAAATATATATAATGGTTTTACCCTTCTTTACACGAACATTTTCCTCGGTCACAATGCCCATGGTTGCTACAAATTGCAGTAGTGTTAAGCGCGATACAAGTTGAGAAGTCGTTGGGGTTATGACATTTTTCACCGTATCTGCAAAAAATAAGCGATTGTTAAAGACCTTTTACCTTCAACTGGCGAACTCCTTCTTTTTAAAATCCATAATAAATCAAACCAAAAAATGAATAATTCCAATTTAGGCGTATTACTGCAATGGTAATATTTTCACTTACTGTAAATTAAAGGTAATGCTATCTTATAATATTAAATGACCAATTTTTGTATATATATGTATGTATGTTATAAAATTATTTCGTGTATCTCGGAAACGATTTATTTTCAATCAAATATTGTATTTAGATAAGGTTTTACTTTTTAAGTTTATTATAAGACATGTACATATGTAAGTACATATTATGTCTCCGACTAATCTGCCCACCTGAGCCTAAAGTGCAGTAATAGACATTTTGGTCGGTTTTGAGTTAATTATATATTCAAAATCCCCATTTTAGTAGCTATCAGTCAAATTAATTCTTTTTTCTGTAGCGCTAATAAAAGTATTTTATTTTAATGTTTTTTCGGAAGGTGTAACAGCAAAAATATCACAAATCTGTTAAAATATTCCATGTTTACCAGCTAAACCGCAGTACAATTAATACTGCACAAGATTTTTCTCTGTTTCCTAACTAAACTGCAGTGTTTTATCATATTTTGTGGCACTTAAAATAGTAGTTTGTTCTAGGAGATTCAAGAAAAAACTTATTAAAATGCAGTATTAACATTCCATACTGCACATTAACTTGTGGGGGATTTTGTAATTTCTTGTGAAAAACTAAAAGACATGCAGTATTTAATAACTTTACTGCAGTTTAACTTGTAGGATGTTTTGTAGTTGCTTGTAAAAGACCATTTAGTTTACAATATTTATAAATTTTACTGCATATTAGTTAGTTTGCTCCATCCAAGTCATACTACCTAAAATACTTAAAGTCAAATACTATTCCCTAATACTGCGTTTTAATAGGTAAAATTATTAAAATATTAAAACACAGGACAGGCAATATCGCGGTTTGAGGCAGTCCTTCTGTCTGTCTGTCTCAAGGATCTGTGATCTTAAGGCTGACTTGACATGCCATGCTGTGTCTGTACCAAAGAGATATGGAGGGTAGAACTAAGGAGAACTATTTCTCGTATAAAAAGTGACCGCTGACAAGCATTAAATTGGTGGCGCCACAGAAAACAAGTATATGAATGTATACATCTATACAGATAAATAAAATTGTAGTGTCTGTTTGTAATGTCAAAATAAACCTTTTCACTAAATGCATATGAAATTATATACGGTACTTATAAGAAAAACTAATTTTTAAAATTTTTTGTCTGTCTGTTTGTTCCGAATAATCTCTGAAACGGCTGGACTGATTTTGACGGACTTTCAGTGGAAGGTAACTGATGTTATAGGGAGTAATATAGGCTACTTTTATTTTTTAAAAAGAATTAGAGTTCCGCTCAAAAAAAAAGTATCCAGGGAAGAACCCGAGTGAGGCGAGGGTGAGTCGCTAGTTTAAAACATAGCGTCATAAAAGTAAGAAGGTGAATTAAACAAGGAAAGAAAGATTTCCGCTTTGCTGTGGCGCACTTTTCAAAATAGTTCTAGCATAGGCAAACAGCAATATAATTATATATTATTTTCAAGTAATAATAATTCAGCACACTTCACTCCGTTAAAAACTACTAACTTCACATCACATCTACTTGCTACGCTAGTGCTGTAACGGTGAGTTTCTGAGCTATAATTTGCTGCTCACTACTGGACACTTTTTCAACTTGTTTCCCATATAAGTTAATTCTTCTTGGTTTTATTTTATTTATTTTATTTATTTTATTTATTTTATTAGGATCTCCAACGTTAGTACACAAAAAACTTACACTAATACATTAACAATACTTAACCTATATGCACTCACAATTATAGGAGAACACAACATGCTTCATATTTTATAAAAATATCTTAAAACTTTACATTATATTAAAGAGTTTACTTAATTTTTTTTTAATAACAATAATAATAATAAAAAAGAACCTTAAGAATAGAATACACAATTTACTACAAATATTATATCGTACTGTAACAATTCTCACATTTTTTTGTAAACACTGACAGGCTATCATACCCTATGTCTAAGCCCGAGTCATGGGCCTCACACAAGTTATATGCTATCGACATACGAACCAGCGGCGCGTTTCTACCTAATTTAGTTTTACAAGCACCATATGTAAAATATGCACGTTGGTGCCTAGGCGGCGCGTGAGGTACATTTATACATAGCTCATGTAATAAATGCGGACTGTCAATACCGTTATTAAATAATTTATGTAAAAATTTTTGGTCTAGTATAGATCTACGAGCATACAGCGATTGCATTCCAAAATATTTAAGTTTTTTGTAGTATGTTTCAAATTCTTGTGGGATCTTGTAACGAAATGCTAAATGTCTAATAAACCGCTTTTGAACTCTTTCAATCCTGTCTATATGCACTTTATACGAGGGATTCCATACCTGGCAACAATATTCCAATTTACTTCTTACAAAACAGTTAAATAATTTTATTATGGTAAAGTAATTTTTAAATTCCCTGGACTGACGGAGGACAAAACCGAGTGATTTAAATGCCATAGTTACGATTGAATCTATATGTTTATCAAATCGTAATTGGCTGTCAAAATATATTCCCAAATCACGAACTGTATTACAACTTTTTATCACTTGATCAGAAATATAATAAGAAGTAAGTATTGGTTTTTTCTTTCTAGTAAAAGTAACGTGGATACATTTAGAAGAATTCAAAAACATACGATTATATTTACACCAACTAATCAAACTATTAATGTCCTCTTGTAGCGAAATCATATCCGATTCATTTTTAATAACCTTTACTATTTTAAGATCGTCAGCAAACATGTACGCATTCGAAGAAGTAAATAAGTCAGCCAGGTCATTTACAAATAGAATGAAAAATAATGGACCCAAGTTTGATCCTTGAGGGACCCCGGATGTAGCACTAAAAGATTCTGAGTGGCTTCCGTCAATCACTACACATCCTTTCCTATTATGAAGATAAGACCTACACCACGATAAAAATAAGCCCGTAATACCGAAGCTCTTTAGTTTTTCCAAAAGTATATTATGGTCAACCTTGTCAAAAGCTTTAGAAAAATCACTATATATTACATCTACTTGTTTGTTATCATCCACTGCCTTTATTAGATTTGTTACATATGAGAGTAGATTAGTATTTGTGGACCTTTTGGCAATAAATCCATGTTGGTGTTGGGACAAGTAGTGTTTTACATGGTCAAAGACGAAAGGATAAATAAGTGATTCGAATAGCTTAGACACAGTCGATAAAATTGAAATAGGTCGATAATTACAAATGTCCTCCCTCTGGCCATCCTTGAATATAGGTACAATTCTTGCCTCTTTCCACTTTTCAGGAAAGGTGCCCTTCTTTATTGAGGTGTTGAAAATAATATACAGAGGAACCGAAATGGATTCCATACAGGCAATAAAGAAAACGGGAGGGATATTATCTGGCCCAGCTCCCTGTTTTTTGTCAAGTCTTTTTATTTTAGCAATGATACTTTTTTGTGAGATGTAAATACTCGGCATATCACCCATCGGATTAATAGGATTTATAGCATAATTAGTGTCATTTATTTTTTTCTCAAATACTGTGGCAAAGTGCGTTGCAAAAAGATTACATATTTCTATTTTATCGCTTGATTGCTTATTCCCTAGTTTCATAAGTGCTGGATAATTGGACATTTTATTCCGCCTATTTTTAAAATGCGTCCAAAAATACTTAGGGTTTTCACCTATTGCCGATTCAATTTTAGTTATATAATTAGAATAACAATAGCTTATAAGTTTTTCGCAGTCATCACGGAGATATTGGAATTCCAATCTATCAAGTGGATTATTATATTTTTTAAATCTAATATGATATTTATATTTTTTTCCTAGTAGACGTATTAAATAAGAGTTGTACCATACAGGATACTTACTACCAGTCTTTTTACATTTGGGTACATGGTTATGAATTATTTTATTTACTATTTCATAAAACTTATCCACCATATCATTTACGCAATCATATTTTAAAAGTTCATCCGCCCATGAAACCATTTCTAATTCTTTTATTATTTTATTGTAATCCGCTTTGTAGTAATTCAATTTCTCAATATATGTATCATGTTTTTGTTTACCTATAGCATTTATGTAAAATTCAAGAGGGGGATGATGGGAGTCCACACTCCTAATAGCAAATTGTGATTCAGTTAAGTTGCTTATTTGAACATTACATAAAACTAAATCTAAAATTCTATTGTTGCCGTTAGTAATATGATTGTATTGGCTAAGATCATTTAAAGTTAGAAAATCATTCAATTGGTTATGTAAGTTGCAGTTTACGTTAACAACCGGTATCGATTTACAAGTGGTTAAATCCATGCTCCACGTCAATGTAGGCAGGTTAAAATCACCACAAATTAAAGTAAATGTCGTGACATGCTCGTCCATTACTCTATTATTGTTATCAAGAAAATTTTTAAGTGTATTTTGTGATAATGGAGGCGGCAAGTAAACCCCACAAATTTTTATAGTTTGCTTACATTCATTTAGTTGAATCTTAACCCAAATATCCTCGCATTCACTGTTACAGTCAGTCAGTCTGTAAGAAATAACTTTTTTAGAGACTGCTATTAAAACTCCTCCACCTAATTTAGTGCCTATACGATCTCTTCGGTATACTATGTATTCTGCATCGAATATCTCTGAATCACTGATAGTAGAGTTTAACCAAGTTTCTGTGAGAATAATTACATCGTATGAAACATTTTTTAACCCTAAATATACATCATTAATGCATGACCTAAGGCCTCTTACATTCTGATAATAGAAGCTTAAAGGAAACAATTAAAAAAAAATAATAAACACAAATCTTAACGAGTCCATCAGACTGGGACTAATTGCATGCAGATCAATTTAAACGATTAAGTGTTTCCATGTTTTTTATAATATGTGTTCAGACATATCCTCCTTGCGCACAAAGATACGCCCGCTTTTTATCCAAACGTATTTGTATTTTTTTTCTTTGGCTTTTATACGAGTTGCTGCATGAAGGGCTTTCATACTCGGTGAGAGATGTTCCATTATATAAATAGGTTTTTTGTCTCCAGCAATCCCAATATGTCCCGTGTTTAATTTTTGAGTTCTCTCCTTAACTTTCCTATTAAAAGAAAGCGCCGAGGCAAGGAAGCCGTCACGAACCCGTGGGCAGCTAAATTTAACAAGAACAGAGCGTGGACGTGAGCTGCTTTTATTTAGCTTAGATACTCTAGTGCAAAGATGAATATCAGATTCATCCAATTTGTAGCCAGTAGTATTTGATATTTGTTTCACAATTGTCACTAGATTTTCCGATTTATGTTCCGGTATACTATGTATTTCAATGTTGTTAGCTCTTGAATGCTGTTCCATTTGGCTTAACCTTCCAGTAAGATCTGCAATAGTACTCTGTAATTTCTTATTCTCTGCTTCCAATTCATTCACTATTGCAAATTTCGTTCCTATTTGTATATGAATTTCCTCATATTTTTGTTCTATAAAATTCATCGAATCTGTTACTTGCTCTATTCGCGTTGTAATTTCCTTATATATAGAATCAAACTTCTTAAGCATTGTGTCCTGGAATTCCTTTAAAACCAAGCTAAATTCGTTTCTTACTATAGATCGCAACTCTTCGCTTGAGAAATTCTTAGTATAATCTTGTGTAACATTTTTATTTGGTGACAGAGAATGAATAACGTTCAGTTCCGGATCTGCAGTACGCCTCTGCTCACTGGTTAGGTTTCCCAGATGTTTACTACGACAAGTGATGTTTAAGGTCTCATCACTAGCCTGGAAAGGCGTTGTGTCAGATTCTGCGTTCAAAGATTTTACATTGTTACGTTCATGTGGTGTTTTATTTTGACATCTACGGCAAACCCACCCCTTTTTTACTTCTCTAGACATTAAATTATATCTTCTAGGTGTTAAGTTAGCGCAAAGTAAATCAAAAGTATTTTCACATTTAGAGCATACAAGATAATCTTTTTTTAGTATAGCCGATGAACAAGCAGCACATATTCTTGATGCCATTTTTTATATAATTACAAATAATATAATTCTATAACAATTTTTTCGAAAAGAAAAAAAGTAGAATAAAAAATAATTCCAAACTTAAATAATAATAATATTTTTTATCGAGATTTGATCGCAGATCCTGCTTGAGCGTTCGCGTACATTAGAGTTAATTTGTCATTATGGTAACTGCGCTACGATTTACTATTACTAAGTTGTAAAAATTAGTAATCGTATTTAACTAAGCTTTTTTATATGATACAAGGCATTGAACTGTCGTCATTGCAATGACCTTTACCGCACTGAGAACGTTTAACGTCGTGCCACTTTAACACAAAACACTGGATTTACACTCCTTGGTTCTCCCTTCCATAATCTTTTCAGACTATTATTTTTGTAAGACAAGAATATTCATTTAGTAATTAGTTATGTTCGGAAGAAAGATTTTATGTAAATTTTATTGATCCATGCATGAGAAATACATGTGATATAGTTTTATGGTGGATTAACTAGTTAAGATTATCAACATCTTGTAAAGATTGTTATATTGTTAGTCATATAAAACAATTTACACTATTAGATAATGTACAATGTTTTGATGGATAGTTTTAATAGCATAGTCATAAATGCATGTCCAGTTTTGTTTAAGAAATTACATATTTTTATCAAAATTAAAGGTAGTTTTATATTACTATAAGTGTGGAATATCAGTGTTTTGTTCAAAAAAACAGATTAAATAGCAGTATTTTCATAATATTACTGCACTTTAGTTAGTAACAATCATGGAAGAAATGTCTAAAATGCAGTAATAACAGGATTTACTGCATTTAAAACAGTTTTTGAAAACATTATACAAATAAAGTGTGTGTAGTAATAGGGGCTAAAAAATTAAAATTGCCATAATTATAGTTTTTTATAAAAGAACTAACGTAACAATGTTTAGTATTTTAGTTTGGTACATATTCTTTCACTTTCCATTCAAGGTTTTATCGAAAAGTCTCTTTTTGATATATTTTTATGGATTCTAAACTTTAGGCGCGTTTTTCTCGAATTCGTGTTTTTGCTGTTACTGCACTTTAGGCTCGGGAGGGCAGTAATACTGTAGGTATTCCTTCATCAAGTTGTTTTTATTTTTTTAGTTTGCTTTTTACGGGTATTTAATTGTTGTAAATATATTTTTTTTGTTAATAGAATATATTTTATTACGTTGAAATTTAAATAATAATATTACTAAGCGGTTTCAATTTACAAATTATAATCTCAACTACGTATCATTTAACAATTTTAACCATTATCCACTGAGAAATTATGCTCATGTATCAATGACACAAGAACTTACCTATCTTCATAACACTCGCAAACACCACATTTTAGTGTACCTCCATAATTACAAAATGATGAATTCACTTCTTTTTTACAATCGCAATCTTTTAAAGCATTTACATTAATTTTTAATTTTTCTTTAATTCCCTCGAATAATATGCTCATTTCTATATTTTTAACATCAGTGTATTCCAATAGTTTGATAGTGCCGATAATTTTTTTTTCTTCCTTCACTTTAACTCTACATTTAGTGTTTTCAGGATGATTATAACAATCTGGATTGAATGAGATTTGTACGTACTTTTGAAGATTGCTGTCGATGTTTACTTTTAATTTCAAGCTTTGTATGATACCCTGAAAAGCAAAAAAATCTATTAAAAATAACATACGAACACAAATATAATATGTTATATAACCTATTGTTATATAAATGAGATAAAAATGTAGCTATAACTGTTATTACTCACCTTATATATAGACTTTAATAATTTAGTGATCTCATTGCCATGAAATGCAGCATGTTTTGAGGCTCTGATATTTTCTCCGAGAGCGTTATAAGCGTTTAGTACGTCATTGTGAACAGCAAACAGGACAATTATTTCCTCTTCAGATGCCAATTTGTTAATAATACTAACTGAAGGATAATCGAGCTCTAATTCTTTCGAGTACTTATTATTTTTTAGGTAGCATTTCCCATCGTATGGCTGAAAAATCCCTGCATATTTTCCATCGCCGACCGTATGATAAGGCTGGTTAGTTATAACTAGTATAATTTTTGTCGACTCATTACGCCACTCAATTTCATCCTTGCATACTATTACTTGAGCTAGAGCGTCTAAGACACCCTCTTGCACATCATAATTACCTCCATATGGTGCATTTTTCAATACATTTTTAGAAAGTTCAAGATCGTTGTTTAATTTTAATCGATTTTGAAATGAATAAGTATGAGTGCTGTTTTTAAAACTGAAATAAAATTAATACGTTAATATAAACTAAGAAAAAAGTTTAAGAAATCTATTAAAAATTATCTAAAAAATATATAATAGACTTATAAATAGAAACATCCATATATATGTCATCCATATAGATGTGCCCCACCGTGGAGTGATAGCCTGACGTCTCTTGATTATTTTGACAAAACTTTAATGTTATTCGTGGGTAGTTTTGTCCAAATAATCAAAAGAAACCGGGTGGTCACTTCGCGCTGGGGCACATTGTATAAAACAAAGTCGGATTAACTACACTATTTATAAATCAAGAACGGTGAACTGATTTTTATGATCTTTAATTTGTTGGATTTGACTCCATCCCGAACAGCAGAATAACTATTAAAACATCAGAAAAATTCACGAACAAAAATTTAATTGTACATGGCTAACAACTATTTATATCTATTTAAAATGCTCTTAGGGACGCAAGTAAGTAAGTCATTATTAAAATATACGTAAATTATAATACAGATATAAAATATACTCACAAGGCAAAAGGCAATGCGTTCTTGTCAATAAATGAACCAATCCCTAAAAACACATTGTTTGTCATTTTATACATCATTTTATATAGTTCTTCAATATGACTTGCGGTTTGGTTCTGGATTTTTACCATCGTTTCGGAACCATCGAATAAGAAATACAAATCCACTGGGTAGTTATCAGCTCGTTTAAAAAATATTTCAAAATTAACTGAATCTCCAGGTCTTAAGATAACATCCAGCTTTTGTGGTCTGATCTGCACAACGTTTCCAATTGACGAATTAAAGTCCAAATTTTCTGTCACCATTGCGTTACTTTTCGGATTCATAATATGACCTGGACACCAAGTTTCAGTAATATCTGTCACTGCCTTGCATCGAATATCTTCAAAATTATCCTAAAAGTAATAAAATAAAATTTGACAAAAATAAAATTTGACAAAAATAAAATTAGGTAAATCTCCAAATAATCGTATGTAGTTATAAACTTATGTATTACTTTATATTAAAACTAGCGACTCACCCTCGCTCCGCTCGGGTTCATCACTGCTTACGTTTTAGCGTTTATTATAGATTTCTCAGAGATGAGATATTTTCCCGCAGTAAAAAGTATCCTATACGTTGACCCGGATAACCAGCTATCATCAAACCAAATTTCATCAAAATCCCTCCACTGGTTTTTCCGTGATGCGGTAACAGACAGACAGAAAGACAATAATTCTAAAAACTATAGTTTCGGCCTCTGTATCGATAATAATGTCGATTTCAATAAGATTTTCCAAAAAATATTTAATGTACAGGTTCGGCTTAGTTACAATTTTATTATTATATGTATAGATATAGTTCTACTGGTAAAGTTTTTGTCTTCGTGATGTACACTCTTAAAATCATTAAGCATATTTTAGTAAGTTCAATAACCTTACCTGATAGCACCACGCACATATCGCACTATCTCTTATGCATCCATCACATGTTTTATGATTGCACGCTTCTAAACCTAACAATATTGAAAAGAAAATATATAAAAATAATTTCATTGTAAAACGTAGCTACTTAGTTGAATAAACGACAGGCTTAATGACATGTTCAATACATTTTAACGTTGAAATAAGGAAAATATATATTATCCCTAGCAGAGTACAGTGAATATTTTTATTATTTTGCGTCATTCCCCTTAAAAGTTTTGCTAACAATTAATAAATAAATAAATTAAAAAAATAACCGTTAAAGAATGATCCAGAATATCTGATAGAGAAGTTTTTTTTAAGAAAATGTCTAACTTCAATTTTAATTATTGAAAAATGATCAAGGTCTTCGTATCAATAAAAAAATCCTACTTGTTATTTCATTAAAAAAAATGTAAAAACTTAAGAACGTACGAAAGTTACGAGTTATGATACAATGGATTTAATATTATGACGACACGTTTGACTCAATTTGTAGTGACCATACTTGCTGCGCCAGGGGTCGCGGGTTCGACTCCCGCTGGGGGCATTCATTTGTGGGATGAGCACGGATGTTTGTATTTAAGTCATGGGTGTTGTTTATATTTATAATATGTATGTATTTAAAGTTATATATGTGTAGTGTATCAACTATCCGGTATCCAAAACACAAGCCTCGTAGCTTGGGTTAATGTCCCAACATATTTATTCATTTATTATTATTAATTTTAAAAGTTAATTACTGCTTAGATTTATAATTCCTTCTATTCTTTAATTTGTTTTGATCAATTTTATAACTATTACTTAAAAACTACATGTACACGGAAAAATAACAAATTAGTTGAGATAAATATAACTATGATGTCATTTTAAAGGAAACTAATTAATACTGGAAGTACGAGTATAAGTAAAATATTTAAACGTTCCCAGATTTATGACGATTAGAAAGAAATGCACAACGTTTGTTCAGAAGTAGTTTATTATCCTATTGCTTGCTCGCTTATGCGTACCAAACCTTTTGTAAGTTTTTAGAATCTAATTGGCAGAAACTTTCCTTTAAGGCATAGGCCTAATCATTTTAGACCACATTTCTAACCGGTCGTGTATGTACAGACAAAATTTTCGGGATAAAAAGTAATTTAGGTTCATGTCGTTTGAATTACCGTTCCATTTGCTTATTAATATATTTAAACGTTTTAACTAAAGTTAAAACACCAATTTATACATATAAGTAATCTGTACATTAAATATTTTTTGGAAAATCTTATTGAAATAGACATTATTATCGATACAGAGGCCGAATCTATAGTTTTTAGAATTTTTGTCTGTCTGTCTGTCTGATTGTAGCTGGTTATCCGGGTCAACTTATAGGATACTTTTTACCGCGGGAAAATGTCTCATTTCTGAGAAAAAATACAAAAACTGCAATGTAAGAGTATACTAATATGTAAAACCTAAGAATTTGGTTTTTGGTCATCTGAAAGCGGGCGGAGCCGCGGGCAATGCTGGTTAGTCATATAGTTAATTATGATTAACATAAATATATACGATTATTGCTTAATAAATACTAAACACACTATAATATTATAATTTTCCTGAACAAATGTTTTAATTATAGTGCTTACATATAATAAGGATATTGCAAATGCTAAATTTTAAACTATTAGTCATTTATAAAATTCCATCTGGTACGAGTAGTCATATTAAAATGAATTTGTATCTCTTATTTTTCTTGCTGAGTACTAAATTTTATTTTGCTTCTTGTGAGTCTAATTGTGTGAATATTAAAACATGTGGTGAGTGTATCGGATTCGCCAGTGATGAGTGTATTTGGTGTGCTGCAGTAAGAATAATTTTGTTATTAATTTTTGAATTGTGCATCTGCAAATATTTATGTTTATTATATAATATGTATTTAGCCCTTTTTAACGTCCCACTGCTGGGTACGGACCTCCCTTCAATACGAGAGGGATCAGGCCGTAGTCCACCACGCGGGCCAAGTGCGGGTTAGTGGACTGCATATGTCTTTCGAAAACTCTCAGACATGCAGGTTTCCTCAGGATGTTTTCTTTCAACGTTATATATATTATTATTTATTATGTATATGGCAGAATAAGGTCTGCCTACATGGTCCGCTTGCATTTATTATGTAGGTATTTTGTGTCATATCTTCTATATAAATAAAAATGAATGTTGCTAAGCGCAAAACTCGAGAAGGGCTCGACGAATTCAGTTATTTTTTTCCTATATTCCTTAAGGTACCTACACGGAAAGTTTTAATAAAGAGAAAAAATATAAAGATTGCGCGAACAATAGTAAAAACAACGCTTTTCTTTTCACTTAATACTTTCGATACTAATATTATAAAGACGTTAAGTTTGTGAGTTAGTAAGGTTGTGAGTTTGTGACGTTCTAGGGGGTAATCTCTGGATCTACTAAACCGATTTAGATGAAATTTAGTAAGAAGATAGTTTGAGATCCTGGGAAGGACATAGAATACTTTATATCCCGGAAATCATCCCTTAAGGGGGTAAAAATGGGGATGAAATTTTGTACTGGGAAGCAAGCTAGAGACGAACCCGAGCGAAGCGAGGGTGAGTCGTAATTATCGAATAAATTATAAATATAACATGAACGAATTAGCCACATTCATTCATGATATATAATATGTAATATGTTTTTTGTTTTAGGATGCACACGATGGTGATAGATGTCAATCTGGGAGTTCCAATTTAAATAATATTACATGGTGCAATGGGAAAATATATAGTTCAAAAGTAACTTATGAAATCAAACAGGATAAAAATTTCACTAAAGGAGAGAATGGCGAAGATGTAGTTCAGTTTAAACCTCAGTTAATAAAGGTTAAAGCACGACCTGGAGTACCTGTGGATATAATTATGTCATATAAGCCAGCAAAAGATTATCCTTTAGACATTTATTACTTAATAGATTATTCTAGAACAATGCTGGAGCAGGTAGAAACATTAAAAGAGCAAGGAAAGAGTATTTACGAAGGACTATTACATTTAACCAATAATGTAAGATTGGGCTTTGGAAGTTTTGTAGAGAAACCTTCTTTGCCTTTCGTTGAGTACGTATCTAATATTTATAGTTTTTTTGACTTAATGTACGAAGAAACTTTTAATATTATAGGTAAATTTCCCTAGTAGATAATTTCTTTACTAGTATTGGTCGGTTACTAATTATTTTATCGTCTTTGGATACTTTTTTTTCTTCTATAGACAGTATAGGCATAAGAAATTATTAAGTTTAATTAAAAATTATGGACCATAGACTAAATAGAGAAATTTAATTGATACAAGTTAGTTTTACGTCTTACTGGTAAGTGGTAGGATATTTGCTAACCGCCAAATCAAGTATGTTCGAAGTCAGTTGAATAAAATGTAGTGTATCAATACAGGCAGAAAGCATAGAACAAAGTGGGATGCTGATGTGATCTGTTTTATCTATGTTTAGAAATGAAGATGATTGATGCAAATATTGTATATATATATTTTTTAATTTCAGCGTTAATATGCAAACGTCGTATTCTTTTAAAAATCATTTATCTTTAACGGAGAACAAAACAGAATTTGCAAAAGCTTTAAATGATAAACCTTCGGGTGTAAACTACGATGCGCCTGAAGCAGGTTTCGACGCACTAATGCAAGTGATGGCTTGCAGAAAAGAACTTAATTGGAGAGAAAATGCGAGGCGTATTATAGTACTAAGCACTGATTCTACATACCACAGCGCAGGAGATGGAAAATACGTGGGTGCTTTTATACAGCACGACATGAAATGTCACCTTGTTAATAACATGTATACGGAAGATCTAAAATTCGATTATCCATCTGTTAGTCAAATAAATAAAATAGCGACAGAAAATAATTTCATGATTATTTTTGCTGCGGTGCCAAATGTTACGGATCATTACAAAGCTTTAGAGAAAAATATTCAAGGTTCCAAATATGTACCATTAGAAGCAAGTCCCAAACTTTTAGAAATGATCAAAGAGGAATATTTGGTAAGTTAATATTTTTATTAATTATTGTAATTATCGTCAATTGAACTTTTTATTTCTTATTTTGCTCGCATTATTCTATTGTATTATTTAATTGTGGAAACTTGATTGGTCGATGTTTTAATTTTATGTTATGTTTTTAATTGTATTACACTGTACTGCTCGTTCTCCAAATAAAATAAAAATAAGGATGTCGTATAACGAAATAAAAAATAATAATTTATACCGTAAATTATAATTGATGCCATTTTAATTTTAGAGTCTAATCAGAAATATGCAATTGGAATACACAATGCCAGATTTTATGCAACTTACTTTTGATCCGGATTGTAATAAGCCTGGAAATTGCGTTTTACAACATGACCAGCATATTGACATTAAAGGAACTCTAATGATTAACTCATGCCCACCTGATAATATGTTTACTTACCTGGTCAAAGTTGGTCCAAGACTTTTAGGTGAAAAATTAAGTATATCAGTTGAAGTAGATTGTCAGTGCGATTGCGAAAAACCTGGAAAGGGCGAACAAAATTCAAATAAGTGCAGTTTGGGAGGCACTTATCAATGTGGGGTGTGCAAATGTAACGATGATAGGTAGGTCGTATTGCACCTATATTAATATTTAAAGCTTAACAATTCGTTTTTATTTGTAATATATTTTACAATTATAATATGTTAAACATATTTACTAACGCTAACTAAAAAATTAAATAAATACAAGGAATATAAAATGCTAATAGTATTATTATATTTCTTAACTGCCTCGGCAGTGTAGTGGCTAACATTACGGCTGCATATCTGGAGGTCCTATGTTCTGGTTTCGGGTTGGGCTAAGTTTAGTTATTGAATCTTTCTCTTAAGAAAGCCCGGAGTTGGGTAGCTGGCGGTGTTCCACCCCCGTGCCTCGGAAAGCACATTAAATCGCGCGTTGGTTCTGCGCCTTATCTCTCACGGGTCGTTTTAAATTATCGCCTTTTCGTAATTTGAGAATGTAAAAAAAAGATAGTGCACTGGTATCTGCGTGTACACGCGCTGCACCAATATCTCCTGTACGTAGATTGCTGTCAGTGTCATGTCAGTGGACAGTTTGGCCGTAGACTGCAGTAGTCGAAATCAGTCAGGAGGACATCATATTTGTGCTAAATGTAAGCTTGGATATTTAGGACTATTTACTACAACAAACATAATAAAAATTTTAGGCATGGAGACGTTTGCCAATGCGAAGGAAGCAAATCTGATATAAAAGACTCGGACAAATGTAAGGAGAATGAAGGAGCAGTATATCTATGTAGCGGGCACGGGAAATGCAGGTATGTAATAGTGAACTTTTATTACATATAAATAAAAATCTATTTCAAAAGACCGATTTCAAAAGAATAATATAGGGTAGGACTAACATGCGCGCGGCTTTAGATTCGTAAGTTCTAGTAAGACGTCGGTAAAGACCTGTCCCTGATCTCTCACCAGTCGGACAGAATGGATTTTGAGAGTGAATCAAATATAGAGTGTACTTATTAAATGCGCGTGCATTGTGCACTATAACATCTCATGCGTAGGTACTTGTCTAGTTTCAGTGAAATCAGCCGCAGTGGCTGAACTTGGTCAGGAGGGCATTATTATTACTATTGCAGAAGACATTGAGTTTGAGGCTATACTATAAAATGTTTTTGACACAGCCATTACAAAACAAGCCAGTGTATATCCTACTAATATTATAAATGAGAAAGTTTGTGAAGATATATGGATGTTTGGATTAATGGATGTTTGTTTATCTTTCACGCAAAAACTACTGAATGGATTTTAATGAAACTACAATAATATAGCTAAATCAGAAAATAAATAAATAAAAAAAATCATCAGAAATCAGAATATATTTATTAGGATAATTTTTGTTTTTTTAGAGGCGAACCCGAGAAAACTGAGGGTGAGCCGCTAGTAGGTAATAAGGCTTATTTCATAAAAAGTATCATTTTAAATATTTCAGTTGTGGAATATGTACGTGTTACAAAGATTTCTCAGGTCAGTTTTGTGAATATGATGACAAAGCGTGTTTAACTTCTGACGGTAACATTTGCTATGGAAATGGTATATGTAAATTCGGTAAATGTCAATGCGATGCACAATGGCTTCCAGATTATTGTATGTGTCCCGTCGATAAAGAAAAAGGCTGTATTGCACCACAATCTCATGAAGTAAGTAAACCTTACAAATGGTAGGTGGTGCTACTATTATTACATAATTTGTGTAACGAATGCAAAGTTAGTTTGCAATTTTGAGTTTCTCTACTTGTCACTTATATAGATGGCAATGTAAAAAAAAATTGTTCCAAATGTTGGTATGTGGATATTTAATCTACCTGTACTAAATCGCTGAACTTACGGTGTATAAAATAAGGAACAGGACTAACATATGCAACAAAGCCCAGTATATCAAACCAAGAGGATCAATTTTTAATTGAATTGTTATAAGTATAACGTTATAATTGGACCATTATTTTAAACAAAATATCTTAGAACAACAAATGGAAGATAGTGATAGAACTCTTATTATATACAAAGGTCTAAGATGTACGAAAATTACAAATCAATGTGTTAATAATATCAATTATTTTCCTGAAGCAGCTATACTAAGTCTCAAAGGGTTTTGCTAGTAATTAATTAAAAATATTACCATAAATACGTCCTGATGAATTTATATATTTCAGGTATGTTCAGGAAACGGAGAATGTGTTTGTGGTAAATGTGTCTGTAACTCAAGAAATAGTACTCACGGAAAATGTTCTGGAATGTTCTGTGATGACTGCGAAGAAGTAGCGAAGCGTTGTAAGGAACTAGAAGACTACGCTTATTGTAATTTGAATAATAAAAAAATAGAATGTGATGAAAAATACAACCTATCAGATGCTATTGTCACGATAGTTAATAAAACAGAAATTAATTCACCTGAATATTTTGAAGCTAATATGTGGTGCAAAAAAATTGTGGAAGATGGCAAAGCTTTTATATTCAAATATCACTATCCAAATTTATCAACATTGCGTCTGATCATACAAAGTGATTTGGAAACGCCTCCTGTTGCTAATATTTTAAGTAAGTATTTAATAGTATCTATTTATGGATTATACTTCAACTATAATCCCAATTTAATTCAGAGTGATTAAAAAACTATGTTAAAAATTGTACACAATACGAAAATGCTAATTTTCTTTCAAATACTTTTGCATTCTGTCGTTTTGAGCTCCACTACTTGAGTGAGCTGTAGCTGAGTCACTGAGTGGTCCAATGTAGTAGGGGAAATTCATGGTGAAACTAGGTGCAATGTTAAGCTATTTCTCCTTTTATTGTATCCTATTATTTTATTTAACAGTTGCAGCTGGCAGTGTCATAGGAGCAGTACTGTTGATTGGAATCATTACCGTGATTGTGTGGAAAATCCTAGTCGATTTACACGATAAGAGAGAATATACGAAATTCCTTGAACAGTCTGAGGCAGCGGGATTCGATACAACCTTGAATCCATTCTATGAACCACCTTCTATTAATTTCACAAACCCTGTATACAGTGGCTAGTTCAATATTATGAAAAAAATAACGTAAAATTATCTTAAATAAAACAACATATTATGTCAAATTTTTCTTTACTTCAATGCTTCCTAGATTATCACTTATATAATTTAATAAATATAATAAATAAATAATTTATAAAACACATGTAAATATATCCAAAACCGTTAACATAGCGCATACCAAAAACCAAATGCTTTCTAAACAATAAGTTTTGGATTTTAGTTTTTTATATATTTATATATTTATGTTCAGTATAGTTTCTTAAAATGGACAACAAATATAATACTCGTATTATAATTGTGTGTTTTACTCTAGCCTAATAGCGATTACTTCGCCATAAGGCTAGCATAATAAATCTCAGAGAAACACAATTTTAGCATATGGATAAGTATCGCTACAGAGACAAAACTTTATACAACCGTGTAACGAGAGGTACCTACTACTAGTAAGAAACAAGACGAGAGTGTGTGTGATAGCTCACTTGACGAGTTGATATACGCGCTGTCCGTTGACAATCACGGGTTTTTCTGGTTCCAGCCGTTGACAATCTCAGCCATAAGTGTAGTGCACCAATAGACATAGAGCATGAACTGTTTCTTTGCCAGCCGTCAGCTAAAAATGGCAGATAGGCGCGACAGAGACAAAACGAATGTGCGGCTAGATTTTTTTCTGTATTAATTGAAATACGATTAATGAAGATAGATATTTATAGCCGTAATTTTAAATAATATTATAACTTTTTTTACATTACTTTCATAAATTCAAATTGGAATAAAAGACAGGTATTGGCCGCACGGTCGCCTTCTCTTTTTCTACAGAGCGGTCAATTTCATGACAGTATTGCATAGTCTCTTCTTTACGTCTGTAAGTGTACCTATCGTTGCACGGTAGTATGAACCTAATTTATTACAATGTCTTGCAATGTTTTGGATCAAATTTTGTTTTTAGATAAGGTTTCGCTTTTTAAGTTTACCTATAAAGTGGTACTTTCTGAAAAAATGCAATTATTATATCTTTTCCAAAAAAAGGCCTAACGAAGCTCGGTCGCTTAGGTATTTACAATGTATATAATGCAACTTTGTCCCTGTAGGTATTACGTAGAGAGTAAATTAGATAGTGAATTTACTCATGTTTATAGTACGAGTACTATTTGTGAATATTTTTGGACGTGCTATTTCCTATGTAAGCGTCGATCGTGGAAACGCTTTAGTCTAGTTGGGGTTTCTTCGTTGTAAGGGGTTTTCTGTTTTCGCTCGTCGACATTCATTTTTGCCAAAACTGCCTGTAATTGAAAATTCTTTAAATAATTATAAAACGTGTTTAATAAGTTATGATTTAGAGCGTTTACTTTTTCGACTTCGACTTCACGTTGTTTGGTTTTAACGTTAATGTCTTTATGGGTGGGATTTGTTTTTGAAATGTATATGCGATAGCGCAGATTTTATGGCAAATATTATTTAGGTTGTATAAGAAGTTTCAACAGTTTCTGATGAGATGACCTACAATGCATTGTTAATAATGTTTTAAGCCCGAAATAATCAAACAAATATATTATTATTTATTATATAGGAGTACTATTTAACTGAAATGGACTTCAATTGGTACATTTCTTAAGTGTGTTTTTTTTTCTTAAATTATTTTACTTACCCTATTGCTTTCTCGTACTCGTTTAGGCTTCTGAATGTTTGGCGCCTCGACTTCTAAACTACGTCCAGGTCTCTCACCAAAGGCAATGTTACAACTGACAGAATTCACATCGGCACTAGGATTAAATTAAAGAATATGAAAACATTAACAAAACCTATTAATAATGTTGATTTTCTAGCAATAAATTAACTTATTTTATTCTATTAATATGAATTTAATCTTCATAGAATTTTCTTGCTAGAGTAATAAGTGTTAGGATTAGGATAATTTGAAACTATACCTACTGCTATAACAATAATAACACACAAACACATATCTAATACAACATTAGTATGTAATCTCACACAATAGAAGTCTAAAACTTAATGCTTTTCTCTTCTATATCTACATCGAGTTTGGCGCTCGTGCCGACTAGCTTATTTAGAAAAAAAAATATTTTATTTAAAACAGAGGTAGAAGTGTTGAAGAAGATATTAGGTATAAATGTAAATAGATGGTCAAAAAAAGATTTGCATGGAACGTGTGAAATAGGATATGTATTTGAATTTGCTGAGACGATGGCTGATAGTGCAAAATCGGAAAAGGTCACATGTACCAATTACCAACCATACGTAACGTGGGAGAAGGACTAGAAGAAGAAGAATTAAATTAGTTCATCGCTCATGGACATTGACTGAACCGTTTCAATTTGCAATATAATGTAATAAAAAATAATAATACATACATGTCTTTGTCAGATAGTGTTGGCATAAGAATCGGTTTTAATATATTTTCGTCACTTTTTTTAGGTGAACAACAAACAGCTTCACGCACTTCCTGCAATCGTTGCCATTCTTCTGCCACTTTGCGATCTAATTCTGCCACTGTTGATAATAATATTCTATACATATCATCAAATTGTAATTTACTGCGTAAATTAAGGAAATGGTAGCCCAGAATTAACGCGCTCGAATTCTTTAATATTTTTGGTTATCAAACACTTTCAACATTGTTGCCATAATGCATTGATGGGGGACCCCTGTCCAGTAGTAGGACGTTAAAAAGGCTAAATTATTTATTAAAGTTGAAAAACAAGTATAATTTGTTGTTATTAGAATTTATAGAGAGTAACTAATATTACACTTTTTTATGTGCATATCCTATCGTACACCAAAAATTCATATTTATATGGTCAACCAGTCGATTTTCATTCATAGTGTAAAAAATATATATAATAAAGTGCATATATATAACATAAAGTGATATCATTAAGTATTTACTTACTATGTTGATGCGTTTGTCGTTGTTTATTGATTAGTTCAGATTCTAGTGACTCTATTCTTTTTTGTAGAGTTTCTTCTTTGTTTAACCTCATCTTCCATTGACGACATACTTTGAGATGCAAAAATGATAACTCTTGGGCATCTAATACCTAATGTCAGAATAAAATCATTTCAGATACAAGACAAAATTAAACACAATAAGCTAAAGTGAACGTAAATATGAAGGACCGTTTTAGGTAAGTATCTGACTCATTGGAACTGTCTATTAGACTGGAGATCACATAACTCTTTTATTGCTTAGAAGTAACTAATCTCTGGAAACGCCATGTAAAAAAATATGTTTTTTTTTTTTAGATTTTATAGCTAACTAGCGTAGCTGGGTACATTTTGAATAGATATAAATAGTTATTAGCTAAAATTAGTCCTGTAAATTTTAATTAATCTTTTTGTGACTTTCTCCGATGATTCAAAAGTTATTCAGCTGTACAGGGCGGGAACAAGTCCAACAAATCAAAGATCATAAAAATCAGCCAAGCCGTTCTTGAGTTATAAATGGTGTTACTTACCCGAATTTGTTTTATATAGGTATATATATATAATATGATCCTTACGGGCAAAGAATAAATGTAACTGAAGGCCGCACGGTAGGTATATAATAAGGGTCAGAGCGAAGCAAGGGTTTTTACATAAATAAAATAAGATAAGGTAAATAAGATTCCAAAATATTAAATCTTACTTCAACATTCCCACTTAATATTTTGTTTGCTATGTATTTCAAATAAGTTTGTTCAGACATTTTCCTCTGTTCTATGTCGACTTGGTCGAACATATGATGTATTGTATCAGATACATTGAAATCGATGGTACAAGTGCAAGGCCCTTGTGACCTGCGTTTTGGTAGATTAGAAATCACTACACCTGTTTTTGTTAGCGTTTTATCATCTAAGCGGCATTTAACTCTCTTTCTCTTAACTTCTGGCGTTGGAATTTTAACGGGAACCTATATTGAGTTAGAGTTAAAGTCATTGATTTGGAATATTGTTTTCTATATGTAACTATATTTAATCACAAACAACTGATCGTATCTTTCTTTTTTATATTATTAAAATTTTGAATTTCTTACCTCATCTAAATTTGTATCTTGGCTACGAAGTTTAGATTTGAGATAGTGATTTTCGTTTTCTAATCTTTCCACTTTCCGTAAAGCCTCAATGCCCATCGTCCGAAGACTTTCGATTTCAATTTCATGAGACTTTATTATATCATACAGCCTTTCTTCATGAAGACATTGAATACTTTCTACTCCTTGATTATGTTTATTTATGATCCGCTTAATGTGACTATCGTATTGAACTTTAATAGCATCTATTTTGTTCTTATAGTCTCTTTCTAAATTTTCCAATGCTTTATTTAGTTGCTGAATTTGATTTTTATACTCCTCTGTTCTGTCCAGTTTCACAGACACTGCGCGATCTATTAGTGATTTGGTTTGCTTCGGAATACAAGGTACAGTAATGTATTCAGTAGAAAAATGTTTAAGAAGATCTGACTCTTTAAATTTATTCATTTGATTGCTTATATAAATTGTATCGTCGCTCTGACTTTTATGAAATTCTTTATTAGAATCTGAGTTTTTGCTAATTTGCAAGACGTGTATGTTTCCCGTATTATTGGAATTACGTTTCAATGCATTATTATCTTTCATAGTTTCATCTGGCGATAACAAATCAGAACTTTCTTTTGATAAAAGTTTAGATGTTGCATTTATTCGAGAAAGTTTTGAATAATCATCGCTTTCGTCTGTCAGTAATGACTCGGTTTTTATTATGCGAGTTTTAGTTGTGGTTCCTCGAATGACATTTGTGTCTTTAGAATTCGTTTTAATTTTATCAGATATATTAAGCTGCGATTCTTTTTCTATATTTTGAATAGTGGGTGTAACTTGTCTATTAAGATTGATTTCCTTTTTAGCGCCATTATGAAGGCTATTGATTGTAGAAATTATATTGATTCTTTTGGTTTTAGAAGTTTCAATACTTATATTTGTGTCGGAATGAACTCTTCGCTTTGGTGAGACGTAAATATCACGAGTATATGAGTCTAAAGAATTTCTATCATCCTCCGATATTGCTACAGTTGAAATATTATCTGTATATACTCTTGGTAAATTAATGTTAAGCTTTGGCTTTAAACTATCATCATCGCTAATGTGGTTATTACTTTCAAGACTATCGTCTTCTTTTTGAATTTCATTTGATGTTTCGTTTGTTTTTGTGTAAAACGGATATATTTTATTGGTATGAATGGTAGTTCTCTCAACAATAACGTTAGTGTAACCTTTTTGTGGCCAAAGCCCATTTTCAGCATGAGTTCGATTATCAGACGTAGTTTGACTGTCTTTATAAATCATAAACATGTCGTTATCTGCCGGTTCAGGTGATTTGTCACTAGTTGTATTATTATCAAACTCATTTTTACTGTTAAAAACATCATTGCTTAAGATCAAGCCTGTAATAAGGCTTGACTTTATACTTTCTGCTTTATTGGCACTATCATAATTATCACTGTCATTAGTATTTTTAGTCGAGTCTATAAATTTGTTTGTATTATAAATATTAACGACACTACTGTTTGTAGCCAAAGACGAGTGATTTGACTTTTGAAAAGGTGGAGACTCTAATGTATTAGTTGAAACTTCTTTAATATTCTTTTCTAATAAGTTGATACCATCAATGGAATAATGCTCGAGTTTTCCAGGGCTCAACCTTTTCGATTTATAATTAGAATAAATAAATTTTATCAAACCAATATTAAGGTTTTTGTATTCTTTTTTTTCTGTTTTTATATCCGAATGGACACTAGCTTTTGGGGTAATTTCGAAGTTGTCATAGCTTTTGACAGAAATAATGGTCTTTTCTAGTTTTTCATTATCGGTTTCAGTCGCAACGTCTTTAATTGTTTCCAAATAAGTTTGCATTCCATAATCTTTTCTTGGTTTGTTTTCCAAATTTTTAATTAGTATTTGAAGAGATAAAATCTGTTTGTCTTTTTCTTTTACATCTAATGTTGCTTGTTCGATAGCTTTTTGTTGCATACTATTTTCCTTGCGTTCATTGTTAAGCTTATCTTGTATATCTTTCAACTGAACTAAAGTATTCTCATGTAATTGTTGCAGGGACAATTTATCATTTTTTAGCTTTAATATTTCATTTTCCTGCGTCTGTTTCATTTTATCGGATAGAAGTGTTTGGTTAAACATTTCCCCTTCCAAATCCCGAATATTATTTTCATAGACAGCTTTATTTTCCTCTAACTTGTTTTTGAAGATTTGTAATTGTTTTTCAATAATTTTTCTTTCTTTTTGCATTTCCTCTTTTTCATCAATTATTTTTTGTCTTTCTCGCTCTGCAATATTTTTAGCTTCATCTGCTTTTGATTTAAGTATTTGGTATGAGCTTTGTACGCTTAGTAAAATTTTTTCCAAGGACATATTTTTATAAACATGTTTACCTATTTTTTGTAATGTTTCAATAACTTTTTCAGTTGAACTGTTACTTGGATTTAAGTCGCTTTCTTCAAAAATTTGTAATTCTAACTGTATAATATCTGAGACAATTCTATTTCTTTCTTCATTGAGCTTATTTATTTGAGATATATAAATATGTTTCTCGTTACTTGAGTCATGTGTTATTAATTTCGATATAGAAAGTTGTTCTTCGAGCACAATTTTTTCATTTTTTAATTTAGCTACTTCCATTTTCATGTTATGAGTTGCTTTAGAATCTATATAAAATTAAGATATTATAGATATTTTCTATTTCTATACAACATGAAAAGAATGTTTATATTGTTAAAAAAGCGTGTGTGTATTTGTGTACGTACGTATTACAAGTTATATACTTCTTTGGCATAACAAAACAAAAATAACTCCAAAAACTTTATCTTGCATGCCAATATTCTACATTTGTAGAAACGTTGATAAAATAATAAAATATTGATATTAAATACAAAAGTTTAACCAAAAAATATAATTATTTAATAAATGAGAATTGCCGGTGCAAGCAAAAAGAACTTTTGCTATTTAAATGATTGTATAGAAAATTAATATATCAAAAATAATCAAAATAAACGATTTATTTATTAATTAAATAAAGTAATAATTTATAAATAATGTAAAAAAATAATACATGCCTCAGTTAACCTCAATAAAAAAAAGTCAGTGTCATGGTACACCCGGTAGGAACGAAGTTCTTTCACTGTCCGCTCTTGGCTCATACATTAGTGATTAGCTCATAAACATTGTCACGAGTACCAGGTTAGCATAGACATCGAACAACGTAAATTGTACATGTTGTGCACAGAAATTTCTTACAACATACACTCCTCAACACTTATGATTGCCTGGTACTTTTGTCACGAGTACTACGGGACCATGAACCTCAAGAAGTGCTCATTATATATGTAGGGCCCCGTCAAAGAGTGCATACGACATCCCTTATGCTCGCCTGGTGCTTGTGATGACGTCAGATGAGATGCTCTTAGTAAATAATTAAGCATAACCATTTCGTTACGTAACCTTTTTCGTTACGTGACGATTTTTACATGTCAACTCCTTTTTTTTTCTTTTTTTTTTAATGTTGGAAATTGCGTATACGCATACCACTATACTAAAGGGAGCTTTAACGACTTATTTCATATTGTAGTCTATTCTGTCGCACCGTAAAAAATTAACGCGCCAAAACAAGTATAACTTCAAAGGACTTTAATATTCAAAGTACTTACGATGAGCCTCTAGCATTTTCTGAGTTTGGTCCATTTTTTCATAACTGAGCTTTCTCATTTCCTCTCCAGATTCTACAACTTCATTTAAATTATTCTGAAGTTTTCTTATTTCGTCTTTCAAATTGTTGATATAGTTTTCTAAAGTCGTTATTTTTTTATCTCTAGCTATTATACCCTCATTTAGGTCATGTATATGATATTCCTAAACGCAATAATGTAAATGATTAATAATAATGTAAAACAAACTTTTGAAAATATATTTAAAATTTTCATACCAATTCATCTATTTTGTCCTGTAAATCATAAATTTTTTTATGACTAGACATTTTTTCCGATTTTAAAATGTCAATTTCAGCTTTGATATTTTCGTAAGAAATTGTTACTGAGTCAGATTTTACACACTGAAAAAAGTCATAACAACAAAATTTTAATTAAGTATTCCTTTTTTTTTAAAGTACCTATGTGAATAAAAACTATATTTACTTCATTTCTTGCACGTATAAGAGCTTCTTCTAAGTCGTTATTGTGGATTATAAGATTTTTATTTTGTATATTTAAGTTATTATTATCCTGTTCTAATTTCTTTAAATTTTCCAACTTCAACTCTATCTCTTGTTGTAATCTTTCATTATCTAAATTGATTTGACGATGAGCTTCTTCTAAATGATAATACTCACTTTCTAAATTTTCATAGTATTTTAGGCGATCTATCAATTCTTTACTTTCCTTTTTAGTAACGGCCAAATCTGATTGCATACTAAAATTTTCTCTTCGTAACGTTTCTAAATTATTGGCCACTGTAGTTTTTTGACTTTTAAGGATATTGAAATTATAAGTTAAATTTTGATTTTCTTCAACTTTATTATTTAAGTCGCTGCATATTTTCCTTAATTCTTTATACTTTTCATCATATTCTCTTTGTAAGATATTTTTTTCATTTTGTATTTGATCATATTTTTGATGTAAATCTAATAGCGTTTTTTCTAAGTCGCTAACTTGCTGCTCTTTCGAATGCAAGCGTTGGTTTTGTTCTTTTATGATTTTTTGAGATTCGTTTAATTCTTCGAATACTTCTTCTAATCTTAAGTTCTTTTTTTGCAAATCATTTCTCTCTTCTTTTAATTTCTGATAAGATACGCTTAGTTTCAGATACTCCTTTTGTAAATTTTCTGACTCCTGTAAACGATCCATTAAATTTTCGCTCTTTTTATTCGTTAGTTCAAAAGCATGTAATAATTTATTTGCTTCATTAGTCTTGTTATTTAAGTCATGCTGAAGTATAGCTTTTTCACGTACAAGACTATCATGGGATTGTGATAGTTGCTCAAATTTTTTAAGTAATTCTTCTTGATTTATCGCATTTATTTTTAATACTTCGCTTTGTTTTTGAGCTAGATCAAATGATTTTTTAATTTCTATATTTTCACGACGCAGGATATCAATATTTTCGAGATTAATCTCTCGTAATAATTGAATTTCTTTTAAAATATCAGAATCTTCTGTTTTATTAATATCTTTGGAAAGGTTTTGGCTACTAATATCTTCTTTTATATCTGTGTAATTTTGGGTGCTTTGAAGTATTTCTAGGCTCTCTCGTCGAACAGAGCGAATAGAATCAACAGCTGCTTTCTTTTCATTTTTAAATAAATTTAAACTTTGATCAAAACTACCCCTTATACTTTTTATTTCATTTAGTAAAGATTTATTTTCCTCCTCTTTCTGATCAATTTCATCAATCAAATTATTTATCTTTTGAGATTTATTATGTATAATATCATTTAAATTTTCAATAGCACTTACTTTATGTTCTAATTCTGTGCTTAATATCTTATTATTTCTTTGAATATTATTTAACTCCATCTGATATTCTTCTAAATAATTTTTTAAGTAATTATTATTTTGCATCTCTTTTTCATATTTACCTAAAATATTTATTGAGATTAGACTAATGTTATTACATCAGTTGAAGTATTTAGTATATTTTTTAACTTACTTTTCCAATCCTCGATTTCAAATTTGAGTTGATTTATTACTTCCAACTGTTTTTCAAATTCTTCTTTATAATAAAGTTTTTCTTCTTCATTGCAGCATAAAGCGTCTTTTAAATTTTTTATTTGTTCTTTTTGAGATTCGATTTCATCAATCAGTACCAGAGACCGTGATTCATCCTCCTTTGTTGATATCTAACAAAAAATTGAACAACATTTAAAAAACATATCATTTTTTATAAATGTAACATTAAATCAGATTACTTTCTGACTTTGTTAGTATCTTTATCCAGAAGATTGTCAATCTGAATTGATAAGCTTTTTATTTGTTGTTCCTGGCACATTATTTTACATTCCTTTTCTTTTAATTTACAGATTAAACTATTTTTTTGCTTTTCACATACTAAAGAAACTTCTGTTAATTTATTATCAAGTTTAATGTTATCATTTCTCAATTCATCGATAGTTTTTGATTTAACTTTATTAATTTCTTGCTCAGCTTTTAATTTTGTTTCTATGCTCATTGTTTCATGAGCTAATATTAAAAACTTTTCTTTTAAATTATCAAGGTCTTCGGAACGATTACGATAATATTCTTTTTCTTTCCATAGCTCATTATATTCTCGAAGTTTATTTTGCAGGCACTCGCATTCTTTTTCCAGTTGGTCATATTTTTGACAACGAGCATTAAGGCAATCTCTTTCATATTTCAAATCATCGTAACAGTTTAATAAATCTTCGTAATTTGATTGTAAATTCTTTAAACGTTTAAGATTTTCTTCATCTATATTATAAGTGTTGTTAATATAGCATTCATCTAACTGGTCATCGTCGATTTTAGTTGATAGACTTTCCTTGCTCAAAATTTCTTTCATGTCTTCATTTTGCATTATATCAGCAATAAGGTGTGCTCGTTTACTGTCCAAGTTCGGAGTTTTGCTTTCAGCAGACGTTAAAGCAAATGTAGTTTCGACATGAGTTACAATTTCCGCATGATAACATGCGCAGTCATTGCGTGTATTGTATTGGTCTTCAGAACAAGGTGCGATTAAAGCAAGGCTGAACTTTTCTAAAACTTTCATTTTAAAAAGAATTTTCCCTTTAATATCGATTCCTCTAGTATCTTTGCCAGCAGTCTGTAAGCATGATTTTATATTTATAAGAAAGTACTTAATACTTTCACCTTCTTTTTTTTCTACTTCATGACAATGTGCTACGGAGAGGTAGTAAAGAAACTCACTAGTAATTCTAAATATTCCTTATACTTTTCATTTTGACATAAAGTACCAAATATTTTTTCCAATGCTGTGTAAATATGAGCATATACACAATAAGGTTCACAAACATCATTTTCCATAACCTAGAATGATCATAAAGTAATTAGTGTTAATTAGGATGATTATAAAGAAGGATCTATTTCTATAAGACGGATTAAGACTTCAAATTTTCCATTCAGTACTTACCGCAATAGTATTTTGCATCGCACTCAATTTTGCATCTTTACTAATAATTGTTCCTTGTAGTTCATCTATCCTTGTGTCGTATGCAGCTGCAATATATAAAAATACCCGTGTTATGATTATGTTTTGTTAATTTTGGAGTAATGAGTCATGAATAAGAATTTTAATTAATGAAACAGTAATATCCTGTTGTTTGTAGGTAGATTACTCTAGTGGCTGTTTCCAGAACTAAAACCAGCAGTCTGTACTTCTTACTCAATTGGTACTATTACATAAATATTATTATGCGATTAATTTTAATACAAATTATATTAAAATGTCTGTATATTGTAAGTGCAATAAAGAATATTTTATTATATAAGTATGTTGAATCCCAAAACGTTAATGCAAAAAAGTTGTATCCTAACGATCCGAAAAACAATATACATAAGTACAATCTGAATTGCATAAAAAATGAATTGAAATGAATTTTCATGTGCTTTTTATGAATATTGTTCGTTATCATCCCACCGATAGACAAGTCCCCATCTCAAGTTTGCATACTTATATTTATTATAACAAAACTCATTCGTTTTATAAATTCTCTGTGCATCGATTACTAGTAGTATCTAAGTGGCCACTTGTAATAAAGTTATAAGTAATTTGTCATCCTTTGCTATTGTCAATCCAGTTTATAATTTCCTGTTCATTTAATATGAAATTAAACATTATTTAAAGTTAAAATATAAAATAAGAATATTATGGCTCCTTCCAAAGAAATTGTGTTTTCAAAAAATCATAAGAATAAAGATCTTCTAATTGTAAAAGGCAAGTGGACACTAACTCAAGACGGTAAGGCGAATCATAACGGTACGACACGGTGGAAGTGCACACATCGTGAAATATGTACAGCTACCGTAACCCTAAGCACGGATAAAACAAAAATAATACGTGAAAGTAACCATAAGTGCTTGATCGACCAGAGTAAGATTCAAATTGCAGGGCTTTTATCTGCAATGAAAAAAGAAGTTTGCACAAATTTAAACCCTGTTCAACAAATTTTCGATGACATGTCAACTGATTTTCTTGAGCAAAACCCTAATATATCTGCAAACCAATTACCAACATTTTTCTCAGTGAAAAGTTCTCTATATAGGGCACGGAAAAGGTTTTTAGGATCACATAAACTAATTTTTAAAAAAATTGAAGATGTCGTAATTCCTAAAGGTTTGCCCGAAACTTTCAAGATTATTGAAGATGGAAAGAAGGAAAAAATTATTTTGTTGTGTTCTAAGAAGATGCTAAAATTACTGAAATCTGAGAAAAGTATTTCCTATTATGGGGATGGTACTTTTAGATCGTGCCCCCGACCATTCTATCAGTTGTACATAATACACCTTGATGTTTATTCTAATGACAAAAGCATAAATATTTATCCAGTTATTTACGCTCTTTTGCCAAATAAAGCAGAGAAAACTTACACACGGCTATTTCAATTAATTAAGAATGAGCTTGGAGTCCGTATTGCAAGTTTCAAATGCGATTACGAACAAGCTAATATAAACGCAATTAGGAAGGTATATACAGACGCTAAAGTGACAGGATGCTTTCAGCATTTTAACAAGGCAGTTTGGAAAAGGGCAAAGCAATGTAACTTGATCAAGAAAAAATACTCCAGTAGTCTTGAATATAAATATGATAGAAATATAGTACGATTGTGCTCTTATTTTGTCTTACTTCCACCGAAGTATATGACAGAAGCCTGGCGGCATATTGTCGATACTGCTCCTTATTCTGAAAATTTGCGCAATTTTTTACAATATTTTGAAGTGCAGTGGTTCAATATGGATCACAATTTGATTAGTTGTGCAGACGATACCCACAGAACAACTAATTCGTGTGAGGGTTATCACCGAAAAATAAATTCACGACTCCCAAAAACACCTAATTTATTTTTGGTTTTTAAAACGCTAATAAAAGAAGCTAATTACTATGATCGGCTAGTTGCACGGTCTTACTTTTTTCCATACAAGAAAAATAGAAGAGAAAGAGATGTTTTATTTGACAAGAGGTATGCACAGTTATTAAAAAAACTTGAAAAGAAAAAATTGCAACCTTTTCAATTTTTAACAAAAATTATATATATTAGGCTTAAATTAGGATTCTAATAATATTTTCAGAATTTTTAAATATATTTTATTTTTGTTTTGTTATTAGTTAAGAATGATAAGTACAATTTTTCGTTTAGGTGATATTCTGCGGAATTTTTTTAGTTTAAGGGTTACAACTTACAACTAACGAGATTTTTTGTTTAGTACTTACTTTAATAAATGAAAATGTTACACAAAACTTGTTTTTTTTGTTCGATGTAATTTGTTTTTCGACTTTTGTTTTTCACTATGTCGACATGTTCATACAACAAGGAACAATAATGCTTCCTACTTATCAAATTGTGATCATGTTAAACCACTGCTCTTCAAAATACTGTAGAAAATTGTGCTAATTTTCTAAATCAGGGGCAGTATCTACAATATGCCGCCAGTCTTCTGTCATATACGTCGGTGAAAGTAACACAAAATAAGAGCACAATCGTACTACTATATTTCTATCATATTTATATTCAAGACTATTGGAGGATATTTTCTTGACCAAGTGACATTGCATTGCCCTTTTTCCAAACTGGGGTGGTAACGAACAATAACTATAAATATCGCAGATAAAAATTCATTTCAATTCAGATTGTATTTATATGTATATTGTTGTTCGGATTGTTAGGATAAAATTTTTTGTGTTCAAAATTTAGGATTCAACATATTGCAAGTTCAACTTTTAGCGAACTCAAAATTTTAGGAACTTGTCATTGTGGGTCCAGTAAATTCAACTTTTTACGAATTCAACATTTTGGGAACGTCAACATTTTGCGAATTCAACATCATAAGAATCCAACATTTTGCAAATTCAACATTGTGGTCCAGAATGGACTAAACATCTAGTAACTTTGTTATTGGAGAAAGTTAATTCTGCGAATTGTACAAAAAGAAAAATATATTCTCAATAATAATAATAATGTAAGTATCACGATTAATTCAAATCATACATGTGCTTGCATCACATGTGCAAGATGCTCCAAATTGATTGCTTTTAGTTTCCATTCTTGGAGTTGATTGTTTGTGGGCGTTCCACTGAAAATATACAATAATCATATATAACTAAACGTCACCCCGCCCGCTTTGCTGGGCGTACGGTAAATGTTTCTTTTGGTCTTCCAGAAACCTTAATGAATATTTAGATTGTTTACTTATAAATTAAATATTTAACGTCTTTTGTTTTTATTGGCGGGAATAAACATTTATGAGAGTTATTAAAAAAAAGGTGAAGATGGTACAGAATTAAAAAAATGGCATTAAAACATGTACAGACGATCCCGCGTCGATTGGTTAAAGCCCCATACGTTCAGTAGCTTCTACGTGATAGCGTGACAAAGGAAAAATAGTTTTCGTTATACACAATATACATAATAAATGCATCGATCAAAACGAGACTCGGTCGTAATTTTTTTTTTTGTAAAAATAACAACTTAAAAGGTAATGCTTTAAGCATTACCTTTAAGGTTCAATTTACATTCTTGTATATTTATTTTAACTAAAATAATTACCTAAACACAATTAATTGGTCTGTCACCAATTTTTTTTAAGCGAACTTTTGCATGGGATTATGTATCTAGTTTTTTTTTCATTATATAAAATAAAACATGTTATAATACAATTAATTACAAAATAAAATATAAACCGCTTAAGCAATAACTATTAAAGATCATTACCTCATCTCCGCAAGATTTTCCTGTCTGAAATATTTTAGTTATATTAGTTTGTTTACAGAATTAAGAAAGAGAACATCTAATATCATTTAACTTCATACATTGTAGATTTAAGTGGTATATATAAATTAAAAACAAAATAATAATAGTAAAGATTGCACATTTACAGCAAACACAAGTTAGATTTTTTTCCAAAAATGAATAATAATTACCTCTTTGCCTGAAAATCTCAACTGAAAATAAAAAAAAATTGTAAGCGACATAAGTAAAAGAATTCAGGACAATAATTAAAAAAATAATATAAAATGGAAAATTACCTCATCGCCTCTTGATTTGCCCGTCTGAAAAAATCATGAAAAAATTAATGGAATATTTGATCATTATTACTGATTAAATACTAAATTGTTCGTAATATTAATAAAATGTACCTCAAACGCTTCAGAATCTATACCCTGAAAATTAGATTATTAAAATTTAATTAATATAAACATTAGCTCAATAATTACGAATTAAATATTATTATTTATTATTTCCACCATTTACCTCTGTGAATCCGGAAAGATCTAAATCCAAACACTGTAATAATAAAAATATTATTGAACACGATGAGAGACATTAACGAGGTATGTATAAGAAGGTTATAACGGTTAGTATGGAATAGATAGACTATTTATTATATACATAGTTATGGTTTCCCGCGTTAAATCCCATATCACCCTCCAGCCCTCCAACTAATACTACCACAAAAAAACCACGTCAATCCATCACTCTGTTTCGACGTGAAAGAAAGACAAACAAACACATTTTCATATTTATAATATTAATTATATTATTTATATATGTAAGGAATTAAAATGTATTAAAAGGTTATTATTAATAATTACCATTTCATCGAGTTCCTTGTTTGCAGCCTTTATTGCCGCATGCTGAAAAATATTAATATTTAATTATTATTATAAAGTAATATTAATAATTATTTATATAAAGATTTAGCAAACAAAATAGATGCAAGCCGCCTTCTTTATTATGAAGAGAGACAAAAAAGAACTTTCCTATAATTATAAAACAAAAAAAAACTACTCTAATGACAACATTGTATTTTTTGGAACAAAGCTAGTTCCAAATAATACAATTTTGATGAAATTATGATGAAAAATTATGATGATAGATGATATTACTTCCTCATGCCCAGGAGAGCGCGTAAAGCCTACTTCTAATTGTCATACCATCGGACTTTGAGGGAAAGAAATAGATAGTGCACTGTGTTTACTCAGATATTTGAGCGCTTTAAATCTCGGTAGCAATTGGCTAACGTCAATATTATTGCATCTCATTATACCTACTAGCAACCCTCCCACCACCTGACTGAGACTAAGTACTCTTTTTTAGCGCAATAGAACCTCAAACAATGATTTTTATAATTTTTGTCTGTTTGTCTGTGCGTTAATGTGTTTGTGCGCACTAATTTCGGAAACGGCTTAACAAACCTGAGCGAAGCGAGGGTGAGTTGCCATTTATAATATGTATGTATTTAAAGTGATATATGTGTAGTGTCTCAACTATCTGGTACCCATAACACAAGTCTGGTAGCTTACAATTAAACTAGATGGTGCTGTGTGTTAATGTCCCGGCATATTTATACTTATTTATTTATAAATGATAGGTAATAAAACTTACCGCATTAGCAATATCACATTTTTGGTCACATGTAAGATCTAACTGGTCGTACGCTGCTAGCATTTGTTCAAATTCCTCTATCTTCCTTTTGAGACGAGCGATCTCTGCATTCTTGGATATCATTAGAGTGCTCACGATGATTTCAGTTGGTATATACTTCGGCCGAACCGTTTCATTGTTTCTTTTTATGACTTCCACCAAATGCTCAGTTTTATCTGAGCAGAAATGCGACCACGCCCTCGCGTCTGTGCATGATGCGTACGCCTTCAACTTACCCTCATTTCGTGCCGGTATGTCTAATAGATCATATTCGTTAAATACACGTTCTCTTTTAGTTATAAACGACATAGCCAAAACGATTGTCCAATTACTAAATTAGATTTTTGAGTAATCATAAAAATATCTTTATGGCGCTACTTTTCACTGCCATCCATTTTATACATAATGATAGTAGAAATTTATTCGCTACCTATTAGAACTTAATAAAATGTAAATAAAGAAAACCAATCTATAAAATGTTTTTTTTTAATTGTCACAAGAAATCGCGTCTGAAATGTGACTTGTAGTAGAATGTCAATTTTTAAATTTTCTATAACCAAATAGTTCACTATAATTACTAACTTTTTCTGTAAGTAAATATATGTACTTATTTATTTTTTTAACTCTGAGAGTTGAGACTTATGAAGTATGTCAAGTTAATTTAATATCTAATATTTAAATACGATGCGACTTTCATTTTAATTCAAATAACCGTATCAATATGGTTGATATAAATTCTAAATTTATATATGCAAAGAAAATTCAATGTTTAATAAAAGGCAAATAAGTTTTAAATTATTAGGGCGTAACGAGGGTAAAATAAAGTCATATAAATCTTGTTTTGATGTGAGAGCTTGGAGTCATGATACTCATGTACGAGATCGCTATCTTAGGGATTGGATAAAGTCCGATATGCCTATTTGTGTTGTTCCTGTGTGCACTGTGGCTGGAATGCTTAGAAATATGTCGTGGAGACATCGAAAAAAGGTATAAGTTCGAAGTAGCCCTTTAGAATTTTACTCACTTCTACTCGATTTGCTTATAGTTTGAATAAAAGCATCTTTAAGAATTGTGTTTATAATTAATTATTACAGAAGAGCTAAAACAAACAATCTTAATATTTTCTAAGGCATTGATCAAACATTTGTCGTTGATTTCTTATTTTATGTAATAATTATATTATATGTTAACAGATTACTCCAAGGTGTCAACCAGAATGTAAATCTAAAGTGGTTCTAGAGAGCATTTGCAATTCATGCCACGCAATCAAGGAATGTTTAAAAAATGAACAAGCATTTGACAAATATTTTGTCGAAGTAAGTATTTAAAGATTTTTTAATATTTTCTCATATTCTATAAACTACATTAACATTCTTAATATGTTTATGTGCATTAGGAAGAGTTCGAAACAACGCACTGGCCTTGTGAGCGATGCTTAGAAGCTTTAAAGGCGATTAAAATGTTTTGGAAAATAATACTAGAAAAAATATTTAGGATAGATACTAAAAGTGAATTAAACGGTCCTTGTACTAGTAATGAGAGTGTAAAGGCTGTTGCACATATTTGGCAAAGCGAAATCATAGAACGAGCACTTATTGTCAAGACACTTTCACCATTTTTATGTGATCGACCCTCAAATTTTACTTGGTATCGTGAAACAAGTGAGATTAATGTGAGCCAAAATATAACTTCTCGCAAAGATATGGGAACAGAAATGGACATTTTATTATGTAATACGATACAAAATAAAAGATCTTCACATAAACCATTAAGCAGATGTACATCTGCAGTAGTCAAAACTGTCGATTTCAGTTGTAACACTTGTTTATCTAATGAAAAATTAGACGATAGGAAAAAAGTTGAATATATGAAACAAAGATGTAATCTACAAAATGATGAATTGAGAATCTTAAAGAGAGAAAACATGGCAATGAAACTCGAACTTGAGACTATGTCCAAAAATATGCCTTCTTATACTCCACTAAATATTTCTGATAGTAACAATGTTGTGGCGCCTTTGCCTTATGAATCGTGTTGTGAAAGTGATAACGTTGTAAAAGATATTGATTCAGAAATGATAATTACTTTGAAAAATTGTAAGAATACGGTAAGACCTTTTGTTAAATATTATGAATTTTAATTATATTTATTACTAGCGACTCACCCTCGCTTCGCTCGGGTTCTTCCCTAGCTTGATTCTCCATACAAACTTTCATCCCCACCTTTTCATCCCTTTAAGGGATGATTTCCGGGATAAAAAGTATCCTATGTCCTTCCCAGGGTTTCTAAATATCTTCTTACGAGATTTCATCTAAATCGGTTCAGTAGATCCAGAGATTACTCCTTACAACGTCACAAACTCACAAACTCACGAACTTTACTTCTTTATAATATTAGTATAGATTATTTTATTTCGACGTCACATTTTTTGTATCGTATCATAAAAGTATTCTAATTGAACAATATCTGAGAAATAGAGGTAGTACCAATAATCACTATAATTTGCTAGGCGGACCCAACGTAGGGAATCGAGTAGGTTTCTATAGAGTGGGTAAGATAATCACAACAAAACACCTCAGATTGTTCTCTCTAGACTAAGATGACGGTAATTATTTTATTATGTAACACATCAGCCTAAAAGAAAAAAGAAAAATAAAAGCTAATCATGAATAGCGTATTTAAATGTTAATTTAATAATGCGATAGAAGGCTAAACCTCATATAACTGTTGTTTTATAGAACTTTAAGCACGTGTCCATGCTACAGGTTTTACACAAAACAAATACTATGGCAAATGAAAGCTTTTGTGGAAGTTGTTGCAAGAAAAATGAAGACCCAAATAAAATCTTGTCTAAAGGTAACTGTTGTATAAGTTATTATAAAATATTTTATCAATGACACATTTCAAATTTTGTTTTTTTTTTTTGTTTGGGATATAGAAAAGTTCATTCACTTCATCAATCAATCAAGATTCACTTAATTGAAAAAAAAAATGTTTATGGTTTTATAAGTAAATATATGTTAAGGAAAACCCTCGTGTATTATAGTGGTATTAAGGTATGTATTACAATAATAATTATATGTTTTAGTGCATAACGCATTTAAAGAAATGATAGATAGAGAACAAAAATTTGCGAGTAAAAGAAAGCTCTATAGAAAAGATAAAAACATAAATGCATCGTACCATGATGTCAACACCAAGAAGTCCCATCAGTCCAATCCGTATTCTGCAAAATCTTCACATTCCAGTATATCGGATTCTATTTTCGTGAGTTACTTACTATATCTATGTATTTATAATTATCTACAATCACTTTTATTGATAAAAACAACTAGGTATTTATTTAATCTAAAATTATTTTATCTAAGCATATAGCCCTGAAACGGCAATAATAATTAAAAAAAACGTCGTCTTGAAAAGCCTTTACAATATGCCTTGTTCTTCTAAGGGATAATGTATTTCTAGTTGTATAATGTACCAAGTTAAAAAATTTGATCGAAATCGGCAGAGCCGTTTCTGAGATACGCAAAATTTCTTTAACAAGTAATTAAAGTTTGTATATATATTTACAAAATTATAAAAAATCTTTTCCTTTTACTTACAGGTGTCTACAACGGAAGTTTTATGACGATGAAAACAACAAAGTTAATAAAAATAAATATAAATTAAACAAAATTCAAGTATTTTTAATGTTTTATTTACACAAAGCGAGACATAATCTTAATTAAACGTTGATATAATAGCTTATCAGCGTCAATAGCGAAGATGAAGTCCAAGTGATTGAATTTATCTAAAGGTACTCTAAACTTTCCCACTACAGACTTTATTTCAAATAACAATTTATCAACGTCCTTGGGCGCTGAAAGCCAGTCGTTGTCCCCGTAATGGAGGAACACGGGTGTTCTTATAGCACTTAAATTGTAACTAGGCGGTGAAAATGTACCGTAAACACGTTTATTTGTTAGCCAACCGTAATCGAAGTTTGAAAATTTTTTCGATTTATATAGTTGACCGAAATGTATCATTTGTCGGGTTGATGCCCCGGCGGGCGTGTGACCCATTATTATAGGAAGCATCGTCTGAAAATAATAATATAAATTTTTCATTTTGGTTTGTAACTTATTGATGGAAAACTTTAAAATAAAATGAATATGATCTTTTCTAATCAAAATGGTATTTCTAGAGGTTAGCGCGTTTATTTAAACAAAAAAATGAACTCTTTAGGATCTTCGATATTACTATAGATATAATCATTAGTCATCTTACTGCCTCGGTGGTGTAGTGGCTAGCATGTACGGCTGCTCACTCGGAGGTCCTGGGTTCAAGTCCCGGGTTGGGCCAAGTTTAGTTATTGAGTCTTTCTGTATTGTAAGTCTCAGTAACCGCCCGGAGTTGGGAAGTTGGCGGTGTTTCACCCCCGTGCCTCGGAGAGCACGTCAAGCCGTCGGTCATGCGCCTTAACTCTCACCGGTCGTGTCGATCAGTCGTCCCACCGGAGTATGAGAGTGACAGGAACAGAGAGTGCACGTTGTGTCTGCGCGTACACTTTTGCACTTTAATATCTCCTGCGCAGTTGGCTAGTCTCAATGAGATTGGCCGCCGTGGCCGAAATTTGTTAGGAGGGCATTATTATTCTTATTACTTACTTTGTTCAACTGGGCCTCATTGTAGCCACACAGTAAAAACAATAGATTCGTACATAAAGCTTGCGTTATAGCCTCTTCCCGGCAAAGCAGTCCCCCGGCCAGTTCGTTTATCTTACCATTTGCAAATAATTCATGTTGCCCTAATAATTTTAAAATTCTCTGAAAATAAATTATTTATATATCATACATAATGTAATTTGTAGACTAATACATACCTATTTATATTTTTATTTTTGTTATTTATAATAAGGCAACTGTACAAAAGGATTAGATATAATGGATACCACAAAGTACACTATAGGCACTAAAGGTATTAAGACAAATCAAGCGTCTTAACTCTTGAGATAGCCTTAAGTATTTACTATTAATTTAAACATTTACGAGTACAATGAACTCAAACATTAACAAGGAGGTTCAAAAAGCAATTTCTTGCCGTAGTATACTTAATGTACCTATATATCCATACATATAATAATATATGTTGACCCGGATAACCAGCTATCACCATACCAAATTTCATCAAAATTCCTCCAGTGGTTTTTCTGTGATAACAGACAGACAGAAAGAGCAAAAATTTTAAAAACTATAGATTCGGCCTCTGTATCGATAATAATTACCATTTCAATAAGGTTTTCAAAAAAAATATTTGATGTACAGATTCGACTCAGAATTTTCTTATAATATGTATAGATATAATGAAATATCAAAAGTATCACGTACTTCTAAAGAATTGGTAAACGGTGCGACTGCTTTAATAAAAGGACTTTTAATGTTTCCGACATAAGCGACCGGAGCTAGAGCCTGCATGGCGACGATTTTATCATTATATTCTGGTCGCGTCGATGCCATGACAAAAAAAGCAGTGTTTCCTTGAGAAAACCCTACATACTGAAGTTTGGAGACCCCAGTTTCTTTTAAGATATAATCTATCATAGCCGGTATATCGTAGTAACCGATTTCGTGCCAGCTGAATGTCCAAAAAGCGGAAGATGAAGGCTTCAAAGTTTTATGTTTGCGAGAGTAAGTGTTGCCTCTGGCGTTACCCATCCATACGTCATAGCCGGCGTCAGCTAAGAGGTACGCTGTAAAATATCTTTATTGTAATAAAACATATTTAAAATATGATTAAGTGAAGATTATAGGGTGTACTAATGGGACTGAAAAGGATATTATCTTAAGACCTTTTGATTATTAAATTACGTTTTAACGTTTAGTATAGATTTCTCAGAGTTGAGATATTTTCCCGCAGTAAAAAGCTATGGTCATACCAAATTTTATCAAAATCTGTCCAGTGGTTTTCTTGTGATGCAGTCACAGACAGACAGTTAAAAATTCTAAAAACTACAGATTCGGCTTCTGTATCGATGATAATGACTACTTCAATAAGATTTTTCAAAAAATATTGAATGTATAGATTCAACTCAACAACAAGATTTTTTAAAACTCTTTCTTTTATTTACTTTCCAACATATTAACTCTTTTTTATTTATTAGTTTATTATTTATTTACTAGTAGACATTTCGATTTTATTTATAAGTTAGGTTATAGAGTGGAATAAAATAATTAAATATTTACTTGCCAAGGTACAAGGTCAAGTACATACCAATATTAATTTACAATGTAGTGTTTAACTTAATAATATATTCTTGAAGCTTTAACTGTGTTATTTCAAACCAGTAACGGAACTAAAACATTTACATAATATCTTACCCAACCCCTTTCCTGGCATCATAAGTACCCATTCAGCAGACGACGAAAGTAGGCCATGTTGTAAGAAAACCACAGGCCTATTTTCTTTAGAAGTATTGTATTTGTCATGAGGGATTCTATGCATTTCTACCATATATTTATCTTCTGTGTATGTGCGGTGGATTTCACAAGGATAACCGTATTTCCGTATTAATGTAAACTGCAATATTCAATTTTAAAGTGATTTCGTTATTAAACAACTTTTTATTTATGAATGAACTAGCATTGCCCGCGGTTCCGCCCGCGTTTAGATGACCAAAAACCAAATTCTTAGGTTTTACATATTAGTATACTGTTACAATGCAGTTTTTGTATTTTTTTTCACAGAAATGGGACATTTTCCCGCGGTAAAAAGTATCCTATATGTTGATCCGGATAACCAGCTATCACCATACCAAATTTCATCAAAATTCCTCCAGTGGTTTTTCTATGATGCGATAACAGACAGAGAGACAGACAGACAAACAGACAGACACACAGACAGACAGACAGACAAAAATCCTAAAAACTATACATTCGGCCTCTTTATCGATAATAATGTTTATTTCAATAAGATTTTCCAAAAAATATTTAATGTACAGATTCGGCTTAGTTACAATTTTATTATATGTATTATGAATAGATAAAATATTTAAATACTAATTTAAAAATATGTTAGAGAAATACATACAGCGTCTAAAGTGGCATCTTCCTGTAAATTATTATCCGGACTATTACTTCGAAGGAGTTCTTCATCACAATTTATCAAATGTAAAGTATGTATTGTTAAAACTGTAATAAACGAGTTTTTCATATTTATCTGAATGGCTACTTATGTTTACTCTCAACAACACTACAATAATATCTAACAGCTAAATAAAATCTGGGCTTCGTAGGGTTTATCAACTGATAACTGTAGGATAATGAAATTATTGACTTACGATTTGTTTGTTTGTAATTTTATGCACGATTTATAAGAGTAAATATTGGCCAAGTGTAAGCTGATCTTGCACAACACGAGGGTTCCTTCGCCGTATCCTACATACCTCGTTTGGAAAACAATTTAATTAGCAAAAAAATAACTAATTTTACTTTAGAATTTGCAGTGTTTTCGCACCAGGTTTATTTGTTATAGTTTAATGTGATTGAGTAAATTAAAAAAAAATACTCTATGATAAGGACTAAATAGTGGAGAACGCCGTATATGAATTATCAATTAACTTAGTACGAGTACTCGAATGTACCTACTAAGATTATCCAAAATTATTTAAATTTTGTTTAAAATCTTTTTGAATTTCAATTCATTGTAATTGGAGTAGGTAATAAATATGGTGAAAAAATGGTAGAGGTATCACAGAAAATATTTTTATATTAATATTTCAGAAAAATGACATAATAACTTACGTATCTTAACTAGTATCAAATCTAATTACCCATACCTAATTAGTTTTTTTAATTTACTTTAATTTGTTCCATATTTTTAATTGGGCGATCTTAACATTATAGCTATTTATCTCTTTATCTTTCAAAAAAGGTCACTAATTAATCACATATAATCCTTGTATTTATGTATGTCATTATAATAGTTTCACAATAAATTTCATATCCATTCAAGGTTTGATAAAAGAAGATAATAATATGTTAACTTATTTAAAAATATGATATTTACTAGTAAAATTAATTAATATCACATACATCATTTATATTCTGTAAATATTTATTGCATTTCTTTTTTGCTGTAATTTCTAAAAAATTACAAAATTTGCATTTGCAAACGTACATAATTTATTATTTAATAATAAAATATTTTCCATATTTTCAACCTTATTGAAAATATCCCATTAATTCAAATGTGAACCACAAAACTTTAAAGTAACTGAGTTTCATTTTTATTTCAAAGGCTACTTGTTAAAAATTGTAAGACTACATTAATTTAATAACGCAATATTTTTCATTTAAGCTTTCCCGCCGGCCGCCATATATTTTGAGTTGCCAATCGTTCATAATTCATATCTTATTTTTGCAATATTAAATGTATCGTTGATAAAGCTAGTATTATTTAAACTATTAAATATACTATTAATATATTTAAATTTTAGGATTATTTTACTATAATTTATTTCAACATTTTTTCTTTTATTCAACTTTTAAATAGTAATCTCAATATATTTTCTTATTAAATGCATCAATTGTTATGTTCATTTCAAATATAAAATAGATTTCATAAAAATACATTAATAATTTCATAGTTTAGAAATTAAATATAATATATTAATTCATTTTATAATAAACGATGCAAGTTCCATTTTTATTTTTTAGGATGGAAACACTAAAGTTGTTGTCTTTCGTTGCGATCAGCAAGGCATTTATAATTTGTTTGTTTTCAGGTTTTTTTCTTTTGTAAACAAACCTTCTTTATGAAGACACATAATGGCAAATCAAGAAATCAGCTTAAAATGGAATGGGTATCAGAATAATATTTTATGTAATGTGAAAGAGTTGTTTAAAGACGAGGGATTATCCGATGTTACACTTGTCTCAGAAGGGCACAGTTTTAAGGCGCATAAAATCATACTTTCTGCTAATAGTTCTGTGTTTAGAACTATATTCCAGGTGAGATATTATTTTATGTATTAATAATATTGGCATTACCTTTTAAGGCTATAAAGGTTTTACGTAACGCCCACACATTTGTTTCGCAGCAAAACCCCCACAAGGATCCAATTATAGTGCTTCATGACATAAATACTGATTCCTTACGAACTTTGTTGCGATTCATGTACAATGGTGAAGTTAATGTGACTGAAGAATTTCTGCCTGTGCTTTTAAAGACTGCTGAAACCTTACGAATATGTGGTTTATCCACTGGTAGCGATGCTGCTAAAGATGATGAGGTGAGTTTAATATTTTATATCATTTATGGTCTACACTTTACCCTCAAGATTGCCCTATTACTTATTATATACTATATGACTTAGGTACTGTTTTTCTTAATCAAGTTTGTTGAATCTGAACTTGTACTAACTAACTTGAACTTGTAAATCAGATTTTGATTAACTAATTCCAGAAAACTGCGACATCCACACAAGCTTTTTCTAAGAAACGTAAGAAAAGTGAGCAAGATGAAAATAAATGTAACAAAAAACCTACATTGAGTACAAGAAAATTGGACACCCCGATAGCTGTATCTAATTCAGATGTAACGAAAAATGTTGTAAGTTTTAATACAATATTTTTATGAAGACAATTGTTTGTGACATATAAATCATGTAGTTTAAAAAATTGCTCGCCATCGACAGCGAGTTCATGCTCACACATTGCAGCCCAAATGGTCCCGTACAGTTCGATTTCAGAGAAATTTCCTCCCACAAACCATTTCTGTGTGGAATGAACTCCCTGCCGAGGTTTTCCTAAAGGGCTACAGTATGGGGTCCTTCAAAAGGGGAGTAAATAGGTTCTTAAAGGGTCGGCAACACGCATGTGATGTCCCTGGTGTTGCAGGCGTCCATAGGCTGCGGTAACCGCTTACCATCAGGCGGGCCGCATGCCTGATTGCCATCATCGTGGTATAAAAAAAATCAAGCATCACTCCTGATGTAAAGTAATAACAAATAATTAATACTAGGTATTAAAAAATATCTTTGATTTTAAAAAAATGTACAATTTACCTTACATGGCATACCTTTGCTTTAAAAAAGTGTACAATGAACATTGCAATATTATTTATGTTTTTGTTTTACAGAATATTGTACCCAAAGTTGAACCCATTGATTCACCACTAACAGACTATTCAGGGGAGAATACCAATGATACAGACATTGCTGTTCTAGAAGATAGTATAGAAAAGAAATATTCTATTAATCCCGAGAATAATTTAAACAAAACCATGTGTGTAAATAATGAGCGCTGTATTAAAAAGTGGATAAATGAAGTCAGCAGTACTCAGCCATGTCTAAATGTGATAAACGATAAAAGTGTAGATCCAGAAGACGATAAAGAGATTGAAATTGATAAGGAAGTGGAAACAGTGTTACAAAGTGGCACCATAGTGGAATCTTTAAGCGTAACTAATGAGAATATGAACTTCATATCCCGTGAAGCCCAAATTGTCAAAGGTATTGTTACTTTATATTGTATATATGCAAGTATTGCTATTAGTTGTTTTTTAAAGTATATTTTTATTTGCTTAAAACTAAACTATGGCATAATAAAAATAAATCCTAATCATTTAACATGTAAATTATAGTGGCTTAATATTTATAATAATTTATTTATTATTAATATATGTATAAAGTTATATTATGTATTAAGAAATAATATTTTTGTTATTGATATGAAAATATTATATTTCAGATAAAAACAATACATGCTATGCAAGTCCATCTTTTCCATGTCCATTTTGTCCGAGAGTTTATAACAGTTGGGGATATAGGAGACGTCATGTTAAATCAAGGCACACAACTAATAGGTATGCAATTTATTTATACTAATATAAAGAGGCAGAGTTTGTTTGTATGTTTGTTTGAATGTGCTAATCTCAGGAACTCCTAATCCAACTTGAAAAATTATTTTTGCATTAGATAGCCCATTTATTAAGTAAGGCTATAGGCTATATATCATCATACTATTACTTCCCAAGGGAGCGAGGCAGTAATTATAAATGTCAATAAATTGGGCAGAATTCCATACATTATTGTAAAATGTTAAGGGAAGGGAAAGAAGAGTTTTTATTTTGGACTTTGAAGGCAGGCGAAACCGCGGGTTCTGTTTGTATCTTATTAGATATATTTATTTATATAATGATATACTCTTAGTATTTGTTTAGCTTGGTTATAGGTCCTATTCGTAAATAGCCTAAAAAGTATTAACAGTACCATATACTGTAGAGTGCCATAAATCATAATCAATTTAAGCTTTGTCTGTTATCCACTTTCCTTTAGGCCTTTGTAAGACCTACCAACTTTCTTGTATATTATTTCGATGTATCTGTTAAGGTTTAACCAGTAAATTACTAAGGATTTGACGGAACCAGTTATTGTGTCCCTTATCCTTTGGTAATAAATGATTTTCCTGTAGTAAAAGGTATCCTAAATGTTGACCTGAGATGTTGAAAACTTATTAAGTTATCACTACACAAATTTAGTTAAAATCCGTGATAAAGATTTATATTTTTGCCTTACAAATTACATTTCTTTAGAATTTACAATGGTTCATCAAGTTGGCATGATTATGTATGAGAAATAATTAGTCTTATCTATACATATAACAAAAGTATAACTGATCACTGCCTGTACATGGAAGATGTTTGAGAAAAACTATTATTGGGGGTCTTTATTAACATATAGAAAGCAAAACAATGATGTTTAGAATTTTTGTCTGTTTGTCTGTGGTTTTGTACGCGCTAATCTCAGAAACGTCTTAACCGATTTGCGTGCGGTTTTCACTAATGTATTGCGGTAAGCTTCATTTAACATATAGTTTTTGTTTAATTTCAATAGATTTATACATATATCAATTTAAAGAATCACCTAGGGATGAACACGAGCGAAGCGAGGCTGAGTAGCTAGTTTTATAAATGTTATTAACATACAAACCAACTGCATAATTATTTTATCATATAACATGCTGGATGTTGGATTACTCTTAGCTTTTAAAACATATATTGTGAATATATACAATTCTCTTTTCAGGTTATCTTGCAAGTGGTGTGTATCAGTGTTGCCATCAACTGGAGCATGGTATTCACATGCAACCAGAGCACACGGGGTTCCCCACGAAGAGGCAAGAAACTCTCTGGTTGTCATGGTAGAAGCTCATGCAGTGCTCACTTTAAATGAACCCAGTGTTGCCCAGTTATTAGGTCAGGTTGGTATATCCGAGAATAATGGGAATGTCACAGAGAAATAATTAACATATATTTTGTATTGCATTTAAAAAAAAGGAATGTCTGGATTGATAGGATTTCATAGTGGTTGAGATTTTAATGTATATGTATATTTGTAATTGAATAACAAAAGGTATAATTTGGTAGGTTGAACTTAGTCCTCAGACTACCTTCAATTTTTTATAAGACAAAATATATATTAATACTTCAATTACTTAAGTTTTTCAGATTCATTTTAAAATAAAATATCTTAATCTTTCAAATTGGACAGGGTTTTCTATATGCTATTTTTGCTAATAAAAATCGGTCTATTTGTAATCATATGAGAGCTTATTAAAACAAGGTTCTTATATCATAGAAATAATATACATAGTACAATATAATATATATAAACAAAAATGTTAATGTTTGTTTGTGCTAATCGACAATAGAATATTGTTTGTTCGCAATGAACAATAGAAAGATTTGGATATCTTCTCAAAAATTAATATTGGTCCGTCTTAATAGAATTACAATGATTTTTTATTTCTGTAGAGCACGTGTCGTGTGCAAGAAGTAGAATGAAGGTTGTGTTACCCTATTGAAAAACTCCAATAAGATATCATCAAAAGCGACGAAAGCCACATAGAAACCAATAAATATTTATTAGTTTCTATCTGGCTTTTGTCGTTTTTGATGAGATCCTATTGGAGTTTTTAAATAGGATAGATGATGTATGATTGACGTAGTGAGTCACGAAGTTATATATGAGTAGTTTGATTGGTTGGGTGTATGGGTCGATATAATAAACATAATAAAGCGTTTTTTGTTATTAGCAATAGGGTCGATGATAGGAAATCTGGCGTCGACATTGTTAACTAATTGCTTTGGAATTAAAATTTTTGACATAATATCTCTATTTTGCTGTAAATCGCCTTTAACCGATCCATAAAAATGCTATTTATGAGAGCCAAAACAATGAGTGATCTTGTACAGCAAGTCTGTCGAACATATCTCGTAGTCATTTAATTTAATTAAACTTTATAATACTTTCTTAGATTTCTGCGAATGTTTGACATTTTTAAAGAAAACTATCTTTTCGGGTTTTTTCGGGATTTATTTTGATTTTTGGTTCCTGACGTTTCGAATACTTTACAGAAATCGTGGTTACGGGAGAGAAACGTCGGGAACCAAATCAAAATACGTCCGCGAATAAATTCGAAATGTTATTTCAGTTTTATACTGTATAGGTTTTGTTCTCTGCTATGTTAAATTTGTTCTAAGCTTAGTCTTTGTCTATGACCACTTTAACTTGACCTCGCTTTTTTATAAGACTGCTTGTTTTCAACAGTTCAACTGACATCTTTTCAATGATATAAAGTGCCTCATGAGTATGGCTCTCTTCAGCCTTATTAACTATCTTTTATATTTTTATATTATACTAGCAGAACCCGCGGTTTCGCTCGCGTTAAGACTACAAAAAAATCTCTACAAAGGTAAATTTATAAAAACTTTAACCCCCTATTTTACTCTCTTATAAGATGAATTTCGAAAAATGCTACCTGCTATGTTGCATTAATACCAAGTTTCAAGTAATTCTGATCATCAATATTTTTTGGATTGTATTATAACGTGGTTTCCCGTGGGAATTAGATTATCTCCCGCGGTAAAAAGTAGTCCTATGTCACTTTCCAGCCCTCCAACTATCTCCACACAAAAAAAAATCACGCCAATCCGTCACTCCGTTTCAACGTGAAAGAAGGACAGACAAACAAACAAACACACTTTCAATATTAGTATGGATTATATAAAAACCATGTCAGTCTCTTTTTCTGTTTTGTTAAAATAGATCATACAAACAAAATGCATTAACATTTATATGTAATACTAGTTGTGCTCCGCGGTTTCACCCGTGTTAATCAATACTGATCCGCTCCCTTGGGTAGTAGCTTGATGACATAAACCTATAGCTTTCTTCAAGGAATGGGCTATTTAATGCAAAAAGAATTTTCAAGTCGGATTACTAGTTCCCGAGATTAGCGCGTTCAAACAAACAAACACAAACAAACAAACTCTGTCTCCTATAACCTTTTTCAATAAACGGGCTATCTGATACAAAAATAATTTTTCAAATCTGATGATATTAATTCCTGAGATAGCGCGTTCAAACAAACAAACAATTTCTGCCTCTTTATAATATTAGTATAGATTTATTTTACTATGTATATTATTTCTACATATTGAATATTTTGGAAAGTATTTATTGATTTAAAAAAAAATCTTTTCTATATTATATGTACATGAAGACATATTTTAATGAATCACATATTTTTGCAATTAGATTTAAGTGTGGATTGTAATGAAAAAAGTGTCAATACTAAATGAGTACGTCTGGTCCATGTTAAATACTAAACAAATATAATATTAATACAAAACAAGTTCACTGTAAAATTTACATTTATGAAGAGATTTTATAATGCATTATGTGCAATATATTCTGTTTTCTATTGTTGTTGATTTTTAAGTGTCTAAATTAAGACTGTCATTGTATGAGGTCACCAATTCTATTGCTGATTCTGTTTATATTTTATTGCAAAGTTAGTTGATTTCGATTTTTTTCTTACACTAAACTCTGTTTTCTACATTAGACAGTCTATATATAGATACTTTTTGGAACCGACTTCAAATTCATTTATAATTATTATTTCAAAGTATTCTTGTTATTTGACATATGACATCTCTGTTGATTCCTATTATGCTATACCTATTCCATTTAAATGAAAATAAATTATTAAAAAAATATACAAATCACTTCTAAGTTTTTCAAGTTTACTTCAAGTGTGAGTTTTGAAGTCGGTGTTTTTTTTAAATCTTAAATTATCTATGTAGTGTAAGTCAAGGTATTGGGTAATATTAAAAGGGTCAGTACAGACATTTAAGTGAAATTCGAATATAATTTAGTTATATTCCATAATATAATGATCTCAACTCGAACAAGTCATACGGTTTAGTCGGATAAGCATAATGTAAGAGCTTCGTATCTTGATTTTGATTTGTTTTGATTTAAATAATTGCTAAAACAAAATAATCACTTCTAATGTAGCATTTATTAGAATTTTCCTTCACATTATTAGTATATATAGAAACTATCAGACATGTTAAATCTTTAGAATAGCAATGTCACTCTCCTAGTTATGTACTAGTCTTTAGTCCATTTATATTTATATATGTGAAAAAGATTGAACAATTTTTAAGAGATAACCAGTAAATATCAATATGTGATGAATGAATGATATAATGAATGAATGTATTCACATTTCAAGCAGTTGAAACACTTGTAATTTATAACCTATGAATGAATGAAGCTAACGGATTACAAAACTAATAGAGATGGGCCATGCCAATTGCTATTTCCCTAAGTTTTATTTTTATTCAAATTCAGATATAGAAAAAAAATAGAAATCAAAAACAGATATAACTTCTTCATAGCAATTTAGTTTATATTTTATCAATATACATATGTAAGTATATAAAATTTGTTTTATAACATTGCTCAGGTATTTTATAAATATTCTAATATACTCGTAGGTTTTCTTTGTTTATAATTTAATTTTAGATTGTTACAATGATTTTTTTTAAATTCAATATATCGTTAACTCTTATGGCTTTTGAAATAGAAACAACTTTATCATGGTATTTGCATAATATACATACATATACAAAATATAAAACTCTGTAATACTCTGTTAATTCTCTGGCCGAGTTATTTATTTAAATTAAAAACTGCTCATAATTAAATAATATATATCTTTACCCATCTCTAAAAATAAAATATTGATTGAAATATTAGATCCATATAGAGCTTAAGAATCAAAATTTATATAAGACTCTATTTTTATATTCAAATTAAATATAAGTATATAGGATACGTCAATTATAATTTTGGCAATAACTTTAAGGATGTGATGTATCAATAGAAGTTAATATCTGGTACATTTAAGATGTTTGGAAGAAGTATTTACAAGATAATACATTAGGATGCAGAATAATGTGGAGTTGTGTTCGATATTTGAATACTTGTGATTTAAAAAAAAATACCCCCAAGGAATAATAGTTTAGCATTATTAATAACTTTTCAACGAACGTTTGGCTAGTTTGTAGTGACCCTACTTGCTGTGCCAGCGGTCGCAGTTTCGAATCCCGCTGGGGGCATTCATTTGTGTGATCAGCACGAACATTTGTACTCCAGTCACGGGTGTATATATTTATAATATGTATGTATTTAAAGTTATATATGTGTAGTGTATCAACTATCTGGTATCCATAACACAAGCCTTGTAGCTTACCATGGAACTAGATGGTGCTGTGTGTTAATATCCCAATATATTTATTTATTTAACTTATAGTGAATATCGATCTTTGCTTTAGATTTAAATGTGATCACGAAAAAATACTTCATATATCATAGAGATAACTGTAAGTTTTTTAACAAGATAAGAGTATTTTGATGAGATAAAACATAGTATTTTGTATTTTTGTACTTTTGCATAACAAAATTATTAGGTGTATGTATATCGGGTTTATGTATTGGCCACATGTAATTGATTTTTGAAATAAATTTTATATTTATATCGTAAGTTATGTAGGAGCATATAAATGACGTCATTAAGTAATGAGCTGCCATTTAAATATTTTTTATTTGTAGTCTTAATAAATTTTTTTGGGTATTTGGTAACTGAAGAATAAATAAAAAAAAACAAAGACTAGTCAGTCTGAGTCATCGTTTTCTTTATTTTATTTACTGAAATTAGTATTAAGATGAAAATCTTACTAACTTTTTGCTAAGATTAGAAAAAAAAGAATAAGTACATAATATTAAAAAAAATATGTTGCACGGTACGGTGACGTCTTGAGTAAAATATATATACCAATCCAAAAAAAAAACACATTGAAGAAAAGTAATTTGAATGGCAGTCGTTACATACCTACTATATAAGTACCTATTGAAATTAATAAATATTTGTTGCAATTTAATATTTCTTATGACAGACATATCAATAATTCTACAAAAATATTTCAAAGAATATAAAATTTAATACAATCTTTTTTAACAATTAAGTCAAGTACACATAGCTTATAAGATAGTTATTTTTTTGTACTAAAATTATGTGTCTCGACCTTATATTGAAAAGCAATATGAAAAGGTTTTTATATAAATATTTATCATTTTTAGTAATTTTTGGAGTTCCTTTTCGAGATTTAATGAAAATTTAATTGATGGTACTTTATAAATCTAGCAGTTTACCAATTTTAGATATGTGTATTCAGCTCCTTTTTAACGTTCCATTGCTGGGCACGAGCTTGCCTTCAATACAAGGGGGAAGTTTCATATACATATATTAAGTATAGTTTACAATTACAAGAAATCGGGAGAATTTGTAATAGCAATTTTGTTGTTTGTTTCGGATTGTAATAATAAAACGCCTCATTGTAATATATGTATTTATTGGAGTATGGATTACATAATGGCACATGACACATCTAATTTCTCTAACACTCATAATAATTTAATTTTCAAAACAATTTATTTGTAAATATTTTATATAATTTAATTAATATTGTAAATTCAGACAATAGCCGGTTTAAGTGGACCACACGCTTAACTCCAATAACATAAAATAATATTGATATTGACTTTAGATTATAAGTATTTAATAAGTTACCAAAGCAATTTTGATTAAGCTACGTTTTTTATAAGGTTTAAAATGACATATTTTTTTACGATACGACGTATTTGTAAGTGAAGAAAGTGTTACAAAATTTATGGTACCATGATGATTCGCTTTAAGATTTGGGAAATTGTATTTAATATACTTAACTCTATTGAGAAAAATATTTTACTTAAGCATAAATATAAGTTGTACTAAACAAGTAATAAATGGCTTTAATAGCGGATTCAAAAATATTGATTAATGCCATCGTAGGTGTAAGCTTCAAACAAAGTGGAGATTAAATATATTTTTTCAATACACATTTTTTTTTGCTTACAAATCTGCTACCGATCCCTCCACCGTAATCCCGGGCGCGATTTCAATCGTTTCAGTTTCATCTTTATTGTCCGCGTAACGGGTGTTAGATGATCTCTTCTCAAAGTTGTCTTCATCAAAATCTTTGGGGGCTCTATCGAATTCATGTCTCGGGGGCATTCTACTTGATGCAATGGAATGAGTTGGGGACGTTATGGCAGAAGATGCCTCACTGGGGGAAATGATGTGCTTTCTGGACACGGGAGCTCCGTATGAAAGGTTCATATGACGTGAGTTGGAATTTTTTGATCTGTTGTCGTATTCGTATGCTTCGCCTTGTCGTTTCATGGACGCTCTATTTTTCGGCGTTTTTTTTAACATAGCCTGAAAATTAAATGGGGGTTCATCATCATCGTCGTCCTCCCTAGCATTTCTCGAGGACTTAGCCATAGCTTGTAACTCACTTATAGGATCCGGTAAATCGCTTTTGTCTACAGTAAAGTTACGTGTGTAACTTCCTCTGCGACCTCCGCTGTTTTCTAATACGTCGGTATCATCCCCGCCACTAGACCAAGGTGCTGGTGGCTGATAAAAGTTTGTTGGGGATAGACTTGGTGGTTTCTTATAAATGACCGGCTTGCTGTAAGTTTCCTTCGCATTGGAATATACATCGGGTTCATCGGGGGGTAAAATTGGCACAGGTTGAGTAGGATCTCGGCAGAACGGCACGGTTATGAGTGTTTGGGTACTCGTAGACGCTTTGAAAGGATCCGTTTGTACTGAACTGCAACGACGTTTCAAAGGTTCATCCCATTGTTCGTTGTCAGAATCATATGGACTTGCAAATGTGTCCCTATAATAAAAAACCAATTATTTTTTTTTTACAAAGCTACTGATGTCAAGTAAGCAGTTAAATTTGTTTTCTACTGTAGTTTTAGAAAATTAACTTTTTAGACAGGAACGGCGCAGGTCACACATGATTGTATTATTTTGTGCAACTTGTGAAATTGATGCAAATAGACATTAAATTATATGCTGCTTTCATGCATGTTTGTATTTGTATTGTTTTTCTCGTGGGCATATTGATAGTCATTTTGCACAGACCTTTTTTATATAATCCAAGCACTAAACTTAAAAATTCTTGTACATAATATAAATTGTATTGCCACTTATATAGTCTACGGTTTCGCATATAATCTAATGTCTAATGCTAATACTCACGTGCTCTTTACTGAGGGATCACACATGTGGGTTGTGTCTAAAAATTGTATCTGGTCAACACGAAATGGCAGTTTCCATACAGTTGGAGGCCCGGCACCGAGAAAACTCTTTTCCTTAGCATGAGGGTCAACTCTTTCAAGGCCCACCGACGTGCTAGTATTGAGAAGAGTCTCGACAACGGCTTGATTATAAATATGAACCTGTTAAAAATTAATTTTCAATTTATAAGGAAAATAAATAAACTGATGGTCTATAATATGTTTATTATAATTTGAAGTTAAAATTGTCATTATTTTTTGAGAAGCATAAGTACCTGTTGGGAATAGTGTACCAAATCTTGGTATCGCATGGCTCTATATTGCAGGAGAACCTGGAATATCGATCTACTCTTCCATTTCATTGCAAAGCGCTTGAGAAAAGAAGCAGTCTCTTCATCAATCTGACCCGTAGATTTATTGACTAGAGGCTTATAGGCTTTACGCACTATGTAGCCCCTATATGCTGTTAAAACATTTAGTTATTAAGCAAGATTCTTTTATTGCAGGCAGAAAAAGTTAAACTAAAGCTTAAAATGTTTCAGATAAACAAGAAAAAAATTAAGTAATTTTTTTTATGTTTAAGATTTTGAGTGAAATAGTGAAAAAAGTTTTTAAATTATATATAGATAAAAAATAAAAAATAATATGTATGTAAGTACTATTGGATTTAATCAACAAAAAGGAAGTAAATTAATATCTTACCTTTTTGTATCAGTACAGCTGCCTCTTCTTCCGAAACATTAAGTGACTTTTGTTTTTTTAATTCTTGAACTAAAATACGAATGTGTGTTAAAAGAGGATCGAAATAAAATTTACTCAAATTTATTATGGTATATTGTATTACTTACTGTGCAAGTTCTTGGATTTATTCTTCACAGCATTTCTTTTTGCTAAGAAAAGTCGCATCATGCTTTGTACCTTTATGATCTTTTTTACTTGAATTTCATATAACCTGCACAGATAATAGTTAGGTATGTTTTGATTTTTTACATAAGATATTTTAGAAATAAATTCCATAGCTTCATTAGGAGAATATTTACCGTGACAAGAATTCTTCATTGTAATACTTCAAGAATACTTTGGTTTTTCCCAATTCCCAACCTTCCATTTTAAGACGAATCAGTAGCAACCTGCAATTATCTGCCGTCTCATCGACAGTTTCGTCGAAATCAAATGCTAAGAAGCGGTACCTGTAAGTAAACTTAATTTAGCATAAAATTAAACACTTAAAGATATTTAGGTCGTGTACTGACCTTCGAATAAATTCTGCAAATGGTACCCTACAAGAGAATCCATTTTGACGAGCTCTGGCAGTATCCAAAACTGCCAAAGCTCTGAGTTGCTGTCTGACAACTTCATTTTGGAATCCACGAGGACTATCATTTAAGTCAGTTCTTATGCATCTTACATAGTTGGTTCCACCACTACCAGGCCCTGTAGATAGTTGCTTCAGTAATTCCAAACTTGTAGATCGGTAAGTTGCAGCTGCTGTCCTCATTCGGCGTACTTGTGAATATTGACCCTTTGAAAACGTATTAAATGTCTGCCAAAAGATAAAAAAGTATGTTAGTTACTTAAGATGTAGGTATTGTGCTTAAAATTACATTGGTGGACATACCCTTGCTTTAAGATTTTCCATTTCTTTTTCTGGTTTAGATCGTCCTCCCGAAGTCGCTGGACTTTGATTAGAAGCGGCCGTTAGATTACCAGTTTTCGTTAATTTATTTTTAAATAGTTGTTGCAAGTTAAGATTGGTCGATGCTCTCATGGTTTCAATCATTTCCGGTGGTAGAAAATCTTTATTTTTATCAGCCATTTCTCTTGCGTCATAATTGACTTTTCCAGTGTAATGTGCGACACTGAACTCATGGCTGCCAGATATCTTCACGTATGGCCCCTTGCATTTTGTTCTAATAGTACCTGAAATTATTAAACATTTGTTATAAATATTTTTTGTCAATTTAGTATTTTATTGTATTGATAGTGTTATAATACGTACTCATAATAAATTCTTGTCCACTACCAGTACGGGAGGCATCATCTAAAATGTAAAACACGCCCATAGGTTTTCCCATCAGCTGGTCTACAGAGTTTTTATTATCATAAAAACGTAAAGGTGTAAAAGGAATCTCTTCTTCGGCCGCATCTTGCATTTCCCAAGCGAACATTCTTTGGTTGTACAAGAATTGTATTTGCTCATTAGTAGTATTAACAATTAATTGTTCTAAACGGTTTCTGTGATAACATTCAAAACCAAACATATCTATTAAGCTCACCGAGAATTTGTCACCGCTGAAAATATTTAAATAAGTTAGGATTTATCTATATAAAATATTTGTATGAATTTGATTTTATTTTATACTTACAACACTGAACGCATAAAAGACAGTTTCCCATTAATTAGATTAATTAACCAGTCAATTAGCCGTTTATAAAGTGCACTCGCTAGTGTATCTCTAGCATCTCTGGCCTCATCTGTAGCGTGCTTTCGTTTAACAGCAGATCCATTTTCAATAAGACAATAATTAAGGAGAGCCCAAAGAAACTTTACTTCTTCAAGTGATAAAAGCTTTGATACTTTTTTTGCGTCCTCTACGTTCTCTATTTCTGCTGAGCCGTTTTTTCCATCTCTAAATCGTACATTACCTAAAACAAGTATTGCTGCTAAAACAGTTTCCAGAAATTTTATATCTTCTTCTTCCCAGTCTAAAATTTTTAAGTTTTCCACTAATTCCTTGTACTTTTTAGCATTTTCTCGAGGCGATTCTCGTACACTTTTTGCTCCCCTCGTAGGCTCATCCAAAATTCTTAAATACCTGTGGTTTCTGTTTGGCTCCAAAGAAAACTCATCCAATCTATTTTGGGCTTCCATAGCGTCATAGAAATAATAAAGCAAATGGAAATTCGCATGAGTCCTGAAATGAATATTATAATTTAATTAGGACACATATTTTATATAAATATTAATAAAGTATTTATAAAATTTTTGTATTACATGTCGGTAGATGAAACACGCCATTTTTCAAGTTGGTATAACCAGAATATACCGCCACTCAGTTTTCCAGATGTGCCGTACGTTACTTGCACTTGTAATATACCTCGAGTAGAGTTATTATTGACGGGTGTTCCAGCGCTTATGCAAGCTTGAATAACATTTGCAGCTTTTTGTACCCTTTCACCAGTATTATTTTTCATGGAACCCAAATGCGTAAGATGTGAGAGTGCATGAACCATATAAGTAGATTTTCCAGATTTACTTTCACCAGAAAAAATTATGTACTGCGGCTCATTATGATGTAAAGCATCTTGATACGCACTATCTGCTACTGCGAATATGTGAGGTTCGTTATCAGATCTCGATTTGCATTCGTATTTTTTATGGTACTGTAAAAGAATAGAAGTATAATTATTTTGTGCATTTTATTGTAGAAATTTATGTGTATGTTTTTTTTAATTTTAATTACTTCTTCGTTGTAGATATCTTCATGAGAGTTTGGATTTAATATCAGAAGTACATCCCCAATAAAAGTCATAAATATGCCTTTTTGATATTTAATTTGGAGTTCACACAGTATATTGTCTTCCGTTAAACATTCCAAAGCAGCAAGATCTTCTACTTGCATTGTTTCTGGTTCTCGATTACCTTCGGTGGTTAGAAGCCCATTTTTAATGATTCTTTCAGTAGATTTAAATGGTGTCTCTTTCTCAACTAGATCGGCTGCAAGCATTTTGATTTCAGTCGACAGCTGTAATTCGTTAAATAGTTAGTATAGAAAAACTATAAATATAAGTGTAATGACAATGTTTCATTAACTTACATGAAAATCATTTTCCGGCACTGATTGAATGAAAGGATGTTCTTCCAATTCTATCATAAATGGCCGGTGTTCAGGATTTTTTTCTAAACACCTAATAAAATATATTATGCATAATTATAATTATACATATAACCAGAAAAATGGTATATAGCATAGGTTTAAAAAATGTCTTACTCGTTTATAAAGTCGTTAATATCATTAGATGACATCGATGGTTTAGCTACCGATGGTGGAGGATTTCTTACTATTTGAAACAAAGCTCTAGTTGGATGCATATTTTCAAAGGGTGCTACCCCATCTACCATTTCTATGGTACTGATACCCAAAGCCCAAACATCAGCTCTATTTCCGTAACCTTCATCACCACCAGTGACCACTTCTGGTGCCATCCAACCCGGCGAACCTATATTTGTTCTTGTCTTATCATGAGTTCCATTCAATTTACAGGATAAACCAAAATCTGTCAGTTTTACTTCACCATCTTTTGTTATTAGAATGTTACTGCATCGTATATTCCGATGAATGATTTTGTTGTCGTGTAAATAAACGGCACCCTGAAATTTTCTCAATATTTTGTATGTATGTTTTGCAGATAAATAAAAATAAAAAAGAAAAGAAATTTATTGCACCAATCAGAAAATATAACATTTAAAAATTGACAAAGAGTGACGGAGAGGCCGCCCTAAAGAAAGACCTTGCTAAGACGCGCCGCCGATATTGATGTCAGTGTCAATCAAGTGGCCCACGCCCCTGAGGATTCATTGGGAGCTATTTGCATACGCATCAGGCTCCAGACCTGTCGCGGCTTGTCTGCGCTCTACTATCTGATATATCATTTGGTTAATGCGTTCATTACAAAAGAGAATCAGGGATGCCAATAATGTATTTAAAAATTAATATCTATTAATAAATAAAAAATTAATAAATTTTCATCGTGTTAGTTTTTAACTAATAAAGTTATCACTGTTCGTATAGTAGTCGTAAAACTTAGAAAATATGTTTTGGTCGAAGATAATAATTATTATTCTCTTTTAGTTACAACACATGTGTACTTACCATATTTACCTTCATAAAATTACAAAAAATATTGTGATTTATGGAATAATTAATTAATATAGAGGACTATAGTAAATAATTGTTCCATTTATATTATATACTAGCATTGCCCGCGGCTCCGCCCGCGTTCATATAACTGAATAATGAAAAATTATGACCAAAAATCAAATTCTTAGGTTTTACGTATTAGTATACTCTTACATTGCAGTTTCTGTATTTTTTCTCAGAAATAAGATATTTTCTCGCTGTAAAAAGTATCATATATATTGACCCGGATAACCAGCTATCACCATACCAAATTTCATCAAAATCCCTCCAGTGGTTTATCTGTGATGCGGTAACAGACAGACAAATTTTTTAAAACTATAGATTCGGCGTCTGTATCGATAATAATGTTTATTTCAATAAGATTTTCAAAAAAATATTTAATGAACAGATTCGGCTTAGTTACAATTTTATTATATGTATAGATTTATTTTGTGGCCGCGGTGAGCAATGCAAAATTTTCGTAATAGGAATTACGAAAATGTTGCATTGCCCACCGCGGCCAAACCTTACGAGATAAGCTATCGATAGATATGCAAGGAAAATGTATCCACAAAGAGGACACACTGGTATTGTGAGCCAAGTGGCTTGCATAAAGATAATACACATTTAACCCCATCTAGATCCCTTCAAGCTTAAAATATTGGTACGCCTTTAGGAAATGGGGCTTTAAAGCTATAGGTGTAAGGGAGATTCTAAATCGATGGAATCAAGACCAAGGGATCATTGGCTACCGCGGCCGAAGTCCGTATATCTTGTGTGTGCGAGCATTATTTACGATAATTGAGCGATGCGCCGCGATGGGGGGCCATCACGGTGTTGTCGGGCGCGCACCGACATTCACATCGACAAGTTCGACTGTTCCGTCGCGAATCGCATCAAATAAAGCGGCGTGCATTTTAAGTAATGGCCCTAGATAGTATTTCAACGTACGTGGACATTCGTCCGGCAATATTTTATTCGACGTCACGCCAAGAGAAGGAATCGCCCGGACGCAGATCGGAGAACAATTGAGTTTGCATTCAAAGTACCTACCAATTGATTCAGCCGTTGAAAGTTGGACTGGCAGGCCCTTTGTTTTATAAACAGCCATCTTGACTCGAATGTGACGAACGACATGTTTATAGTCAGTCGAATATGGACTTACCTTGATCGTATATTTGAGGATGTAAGCGATGTGTTCCTCGGACATTTTTTTGTCTGCCGCTTTAAGCTTTTTGACAATATCGATGACAGATCCATACTCGCATAACTGGAAAATAGAGATTTTTGTATTTGATAATTTAGCTCTCTGTACTGTTTTTATTGCGAAGTCTCATTACAAAGTAATATGAACAAACCTCAAGCACAAACCAGATTTTCTTGACATATTCTGATTTATCGCAGAAAACTCCATAAAAGTCTACGAGATTAGGATGTTTAGTGAAATCCCTTAGAATCTTGTATTCATCTTGTATATGTGGCTCGCTGTCTTCGGTAATGACTTGTATCTTAATGGCAACTGCTTTGCCAGCGGCTTGATTATCTTTAGCTTTATAAACTTCCCCAAAGACGCCTGTACCGAGCTTTTTTTCTAGCGTGTACCGGTCCTGGTGACTTGGCAGGGACGGTATATTAAGACCGTCCTTCATTTTGTTGTTCGGGTCATGCGTAGATATAACACTTTAAAAGGATTAAATATAATTAAAATGTAAATTAAACTAACAATAAACTTATTTAATTTATTGATAAGCTTTTAAAATAATATGAAAAGAGTAATGAAGAAATTTATTAATATATTTAAATAAATATTTGATAGTAATTAAATGGAATCTAAAGATTCAAGCAATGAAATCTCACCGTAAGTCCGCACCACAACTCGTCACAAGCTGAACTAAGGCCTAGCTGGTATGAGACCTAACAAGTGCTGGGGCTTCAGGAATTAAATCCGCGGTAATCCGTTATAATAGTGTTAGAACGACGCTACTGATTTGCCCCAACTATGTGTTGTTTTTTTGTTGATGAGTTGTGTTTTGACCGACTTCAGAAAATGAGGAAAGGAGGTAATACCTAATTCAAGTGTACGCTCTTCGTGTAAATGTAATGAACCAAATATGTATAAACTATGAATATACGCCTTACGCAATGAATTCAATTATTTTTCAAATCAATATGGCTTACCTCAAGGTTACTATTATTATTTCAAGAAATAAAATCGTCACTTGAAATATAAATGTTCCTCCATGCACCTATCTTTTTAGTAAAATTATCTTATTAGAACTTATAATTTAAAAACTCCTTTAGTAATAGTATATCTACCTATTATTTGTAAATCAATATAAGCTACATGTTTTTATAGACGTAAGTTGGTCGGGCGAGATATTAAAAAAAAATGTTTTATTTTTATTGTTATAATTTTATCATATTCTAGGTAGGTATTTAGGTATTATCTCTAAGTTCTTCATAAATTTTTATTAAGTTATTGATATTCTCAAAACTTCTCTCTAAAGATAATCAGTAAATTACTTACTAGCAGGTAGGTAGGTACATTTTAACGGTTAATATGGAATGATAGATTATATATATCTATATACTATATACCTATACATAAATAAAAACAAAACAAATCTGAACTTTTCAATTTTAAAGCTATTTTTTTTGGTTTTCCCTATTTTTTTGTACTTTAACCACTCCTGACACACCCCATAAAACAAAAAAAAATCAAATTGCTCTAGCCGTTTTAGCGAGAATAACTAATAGCAATTTATTTTTATATATACAAGAAGATTATAAAAAGATTGGTAAAGCTTACATTATAAAATACTATACACCGTAGACCATACTTATTCATAGATCCTTGGGTATCATACCTACTTCAAATTATGTTACTTGAACTTAAGATTTAAGTGAATTCTTTGCACTCGTGTGCGAAAACGGTAGTTTATATATAACAATCAGTTTCCTGTTCAATCGCACAACAGTTATTGATATTTAACAATATTGACAAGTGATCCTTCTAATCTCAAAAGCGATCCGTCATACGAAAGTGCCCTATCAAGCATGCAAGGACTAAGGACCAACACAATGCAAACAGTTAGCTTGCCACTCGACTCATCTCGTACACCGTAAACCTGTCAATAATGTTACTCTGAAGAGGCAATCTGTCTGTACGTATTGTTAAAAGTGCCTTTACACAATTTAGAGATCAAAAATGATATATTTGTTTATTTTTGTAGGTACCATTAAATATATGTTATGTAAAATAAAGTAACAGCTTTTTTGTCTATTGGTTGTGAGTGGGTGATGGATGTTAACATTATTTTTAATGTTAAAACTAAAGCGTTTGTTTGTTTCAACGCGCTAATCTATGGAACAGTAGTTCCTAGACCTACTTGAATTTTTCTATTTTATTTTATAGCCTATTTTTAGCTCAGGAATGGACAGAATTGTATTTACTTAATCATATTTCAAACTTAACATTTGTTTGTTATATTTAGAGGGTTATCTCAGGGGTCCCAAAATAGATTTAAAACTTATTTTACTATTAGAAAGCTACACTTTATTTGACTAGCAGAGTTGCTGACCAAAACGTTGTGTATATATGAAAATATATTACTAACATATATTACTAGCGACTCACCCTCGCTTCGTTCGTTCCTAGGTACGTTTTAACGGTTAGTATGGAACAGATAGATTATAATTCGAATGATTTAAAAAGTGTTTTACTGCTACTTAAATATCCTTGATGATAAAACTATTTATTTTAATAAGAATTAATACTACGATACGAATGTAACCAACTTTTGTTTCTAACGTCGATCTAATTAAATTTTAGAACACAAAAGCTGTATATTGTAACTTAACTATGATACTCGTAGTTAGATATACATATACCTTCGCGGACTTTTATGTAGGTAATTATAAGTACTTTAATCATATACTACATAATTTTTTTATGTACATATCATCAAAAGTTTTCTCAGCGCACGCTAAATAATACATTTTCTTAAAGATCTCTAATTTTGTTGAAAATAAATTATAGCCTATGTAACTTCCTGATAATTTAGCTTTCTATTGGTGAAAAAATGGTAAAAATTGGTCCAGTAGTTTTGAAGTTTATTCGGTACAAACAAACAAAAAATCTTTCCCCTTTATAATATTAGTGTAGGTGATTATTATATATAATATGACTGCTCTATGTACCTACATATTTATCTCAGTGTTTTCTGACCATTTCACATAAATATTATATAATTGTATTTTATTATATAAATATTACATAAACATCCTTTGAAAGCGTCGGAGCAGGACAATGGGAGCTTTTTTTGGAGGAGCAAATTAAGTGGAAATAACAGAATTTTTGTTACTGCGCTATTGAGACGTCGCTACTGCATTACAAAGCTCCAAATATTTCGACAGTAGCTAAGTTTTTTGAAATGTGTTGCTTAATCGTTCTTTTTTATATTTGGCAAAAAAGATTTAAATATAATGATAGAAGAAGGTATGTCCAATGCTCATATAATTTATTAACGAGTTTTATGTATTTTTTTTAAATAATTATTTTCTCCTGGGTTTAATTTTCGTTTAGTTGATATTCCTAGTTGTGTAACAATAACATTGTGATGTAAGTAAATAAGCGTTTGGATCGAATTAATAATTTTGAAGATCCTCTAAATAATAATAAGTAATGAGATGTTGCTTTTTTTGTCAAAATCGACTTAAAACTGGCGAAAATATCGCGTAACATATATCACCAAAGATATAAAATAAAAAAAAATACAGCCCAAAAAATACCTCCTCGATGTTATCGTTTAAAAAATGTTGTGTTACTTTTGGGAGTTTTAAAAAAAACTTTGTGGTAATAACATAATATGTGTTTGTTTTTCACTCCTTATTAACAAGATTGATCCACATAGTGCGTTACACAACAATACAAACCACGCTCAATGTATTTGAGCACATCAGAAATACATACTAAGTATTTACATAATAAGGCTTCTATCTCTGAAAGATTAATTAAAACGTAAATAAGTGCTGTTACTCTTAAATTATATCATACATTATGCATATTAGGATTACATGTTACGTAATGGACACAATATCCGATATTTCAATGTCCAGAACGAACTGCTAGGCTTACTGAGCTATCCAAAATTTGGATATAATAACCACCGGAATAGGATTTTTTGAAATTTAAACAGAAAGGTGAAAACGACCTCTTTCGCTTCTACTCTTCCTCTTTAACTTAGTATTATTTATCTTCGACACTATTAAAGTTTCAAATTTCAGTTTCATAGAAAAATACACTTGAGCGTAGAGACGGTAAGTCAGTCTGAAAATCACAAATTTATTTCTGCATATTAAATATATACCTATGTACCTACTTAGGTATACTCTCACGATGTAGCATTTTAGCAATTAAATCTTCTACTTGATTGAAAAATTATAAATATTAATCCATCTAATAAATAGTAAATAATATCCATATACAAATAGGTACGTATTAGTCTTGTTGATTTTGTAAAAGGAGTTTTTACTGTAGATTTAAAAACAGGTTTTGTTTATGATCGTTTTATTTTATCTATAAAATGTTACAATATTATGATAAAAATAAATATTAAATAAATATCACGTAAATGGGAATGTTTATTTAAAAAGTGCAAATTTTCATACGAACATATTTACAATCTTAGGAATGTCAAGTTTTAAATTATAGTTTACATAATAATTGTCATATATACTTATTTAAATACATTTTTTGTTTAATAATACATGAAAGAGAAAACTTAAGAGAAAATACTCGAATTGTATAACTCCTTCTACTATTTCATATCATGGTAAGTTTTGGAAACTTATATGTGCTTGTTAACTTATAGCCTCTAGAAAATTCAGACGACTGGAAACCTCATTTCATAGAATCTTCAATCCTTAATTAGGTTTTAGATAATTTTACTTCACCCTAAATGGTCTATTACTTCTGTCCATATTTAAAATGATAAGTTAATGTAATGTTTTTTTTTAAATAAAGTAAATTTTACCGTGAAACGTCTAAGGCTCATTGGTGAGCTCTTAAGGGTTAACATTACTGGAGATAGTAAATACAAACGCACTTGCGATCTTCTAGTAATAAACAAATCTATTTTTCAAATATTAATATGTAATTTTTTTACAAGTGCGCTGAGATGAATGACGAAACAAATATGAAAGAAATTGTAGGAATAAGTGAGTAGTGTTCAAAAGGTAAGAGCAGATCTTGATAAAATAAAAAAAAACATTCGATTTTTGAAACTGACAACTTCTATAACGAGGCAAAAATTAACACATAATTTCGGATTTCGTTTTCTACGCCCACTGGAAATTTATTCTATGTCACATTGGTAGTCAGTTGATAATACTGGACCATTTAATCCTATTAACGTTCAACAGTGGAGCAAAGGCTTCTATTGATGAGGATTTGGAGCTTAACTCGCCACGCAATTTTAGCGGATTGGTGGATCATGTTACATTTCTTCTGAGATATATCAGTTTATTCACGATATTTGAACGTGAAACTTATAGATTTTAATCAAATAGTTGACATTATGTATAATTAAAATACATATAAATAAATTCTTTAATGTAAGAGGTGCTTAAGCCAGTATAAATAAGAAGTGTGGAAGTTAAATTCTACATAAAAAAGTCAGTTAAGACTGTTGCATTCTCATATAGCGTAGGTATATTTTTAATTCTGCATTTTAGCATTCGTAGTTTAGAATACTTTACATTAAAGTGTCTGACAACTAATGGTCTCTCAGTATTATTATTCTGAATTAAAAAAAAAGATATTACAAAATTGTGAATCTATCTATCTATGTAGTTATTTTTATAAATTTCATCAATCCCTCAGATTTATTTTCACACATTTATTCCGATTCATAACAAGTGTTGTTGGTAATGTAATTTTAGTAGATTTTTTCCCTTTTTTCGTGATTTGCTGCATGTTTTCTAAGTGTCTAATATTTAATATTACAAAATTTGTACAGTATATAGTCTCATGCTATTGACAATCTAAGGATTTTATAATACTGATAGTCACTTATAAAAATTGTATACTTGCTTAAAACTTATAAATTATAATACAAAATTCATTACACTTTTTAATATTGGCTAGTAATACTTGAAATCTACATTCCTAATACTTATATACTATAAAAAAAATTGATATGTTTTATACTGCATTAAAAGAATTTACAAATTAAAATATAATAATAATAAAAAAAAAATTACCTAAATAAAATCAAACCCACTACCATCAATTAATCATACAGTAAGGGATAGATAATTAAAATTACAAGGGAAATGCTACATAGAAATTGCAATTAGAAACAAAAAACGGTCGTAACGATTTAAATTTTTAAATCTATTTATTTAAGGTACATTTTTAAGTACACTATTATCGTATTTCATAAGCAAATAAATATATTTTGTGCCATTTTATTGCTATTACCAATGTATATAAGTATAGTCCATACAAGTACATAATACTTTACCATTATCCATATTCATTAACCAACTACATAATACTGGATAACTTAGCAAATTTATACTTTACATATATTAATCTTATGATATTAATTTACATTTTGCTAATATGGCCGCTACAAAAGTAAAAAAATGTCTTTTGTCATGTTATTGTACTACTTTCCTATATAATATATCTAAATGTTTTAAATAAAACAGTCTTTTTGGATTTTTTCGCGGATTTATTTTGATTTTTGGTTCCCGACGTTTCGAATGCTTTAGAATCATGGTCACGGGAGAGACATGTCTCCAAAAACCGAACCAAATCCGCGAAAATCCAAAAAGAGAGTTTTATTTCAAATGTTAAATATACGCGTAAATCTAAGAAAGTATCACGATCACCTACATGTATTATCGTCAGTCAAAATTGAGTAATAGAGGAAAAACTAAATTGTCCCCATTTCGCACTTATACAATTATATTGACCCGTATAGAATAATTATTACATAAGAGAATTTTATAAGTTTTCTAATTAATAGGTAGAAAGTTTTGCTTTCCATATACATTTGTTATAAAAGGTTTACGAATACTACTTGTGATGGGTAATATTAATTTTGTATAAATTATCTTGGATATTACAATGTTGCTGAAGTCATTTTATATGTCTACTAGCATTGCCCGCGGCTCCGCCCGCGTTCAGATAGATGACCAAAAAGCAAATTCATAGGTTTTACATATTAGTATACTCTTACAATGCAGTTTTTGTATTTTTTCTCAGAAATGAGATATTTTCCCGCGGTAAAAAGTATCCTATATGTTGACCCGGATAACCAGCTATCACCATACCAAATTTCATCAAAATCCCTCCAGTGGTTTTTCTGTGATGCGGTAACAGACAGATAGACAAAAATATTTAATGTACAGATTCGGCTTAGTTACAATTTTATTATATGTATAGATTTCTAAGTAGACATATAAAGTGCTTTCAAATACTTATTAACTTTATTAACAACATTATTTGCAAATAGCCACCCATTTATCATCTTGGCATTTCTGACAGTCGACTCTGCAGCACCAATGGAAGGTACAATTGCATGGTTTGATACTTGATTTTCTGATGAGGGCGTGACCCCGGCCGCAGCATAGCAGGTCACATGACCCTGTACGAGAGGTCCTTCCGATACGACACACACGTCCTGTTGTACCCGCAGAGTCCATTTTTGGGTCAACCTCGCAAAAACTCGGAGATCTGTTAGAAGATAATACGTAATTGCTAAGTAAGTCATATATCAAGTACCTACTTACATACGTCAAATATTACGTTTAATATTAGAAAGTTAATACAAATAAGTAGGCAGTATGTACAATAGCTTTGTAGCGAAGTTGGTCCACGATTAGTCCCTTTTAGGCCGTGTTTGATTACCAGAGTATGAAATTGAAGCAATAGAGAAAGCTTGTGAGTTTACGCACATAATATACCTTTATTACAATGTACTCGTAGTCTTAGGTAAAGAGAAATTATTTTTATTGTTTATCAATACTTACTTCTCAAAGAAGAGCAAGCTAGACTTAGGTGCTGGTCTCGCGCGGCTCTTCCTCCTGCCTCGTGGTCGACCTCTAAGGATCGATGGGTCGTTATTTAACTCCTCTTGTGCTACGATGAGAGCCTAAAATATTCATTTCACTTCATTCATATTAATAATAAATACATATAAAGTATGTAATACATGTTAAAGCATTTTCTTAAAATTTTAAGAAATTCAATTGGACTACTTTATACATAACTAGCGACTCACCCTCGCTCCGCTCGGGTTCGTCCCTGGGGTGGGGTCTGGGAGGACCACCTTTATCCTTATCACTTAGGTGTATGGAAAATAGATAGTAGCCGATTCTCAGACCTACTGAATACGCATATAAAATTTGGTAAAAATCGGTAAAGCCGTTTCGGAGGAGTACGGTAACTAACATTGTGACGTGGAAATTTTATATATTAGATATATGCACGGTTTTTGTTTATGTGTATGTTTGTTACTTCTTCACGCTGAAACCATGGATGGATTTCGATGAAATTTAGAAAACAGATAGAAATACTATTTGAACTGGAGTAACATAGGTTACTGTTGGGCATCAAGGGCGACCCGCGTAAAGCGAGGGTAAGTTGCTAGTTTCTTGATATGACTTAAAAAAATATACGTATCGAATTGAGAACGTCCTCCTTTTTTTGGTTGGTTAAAAATATTAAATAAATGCCAATAAACCTTTCGATATTGTCGTTTGATACTAGAAGCAACGACCCTGAAGTCGGGTGTGGCGCGCCAACACGTCCTGAGCTGACAGCTCCCTGACAGGCCGTGACACTTGCAGCGGACCTCCATGTGTGAAGACAAAATCTGGAAAAATATTTCATGTTAGACTAATAGCTAGTACACTTTAAAATAAATTTCTTAGGGGGATACGATAGATTTGCTAATACACAATTTGCTAGAAGAAATAATATTTAATGTTTACCAACGAAATTATTTAGTTCTTTACACAGTACTGTATTTGAAATACAAATTCCACTGAAAGCGTACAAAATCATAAATTCGAGCTGCATCCGAACGTGACCGCATCTTTGGCACAATCATGCGATTAAGCCACCCACTAGTTCATAACATTTAAATAATTAAACGCCTCACTGCAATCACTCTGACGTCTTAATTTTGCGAGAGCCGCCGGCGGAACAATTTCCCAAATTGAGTCGGAGTAAAAATTCAAATAAATCGGTGTACCGGACCGCCTTTCCTTTCCTGAGGGCCTTAATAACGTAGTATTAAGAGCGTCCGCGATAGAATTCGCCACCCAAGACGTTTGTAATACGTCGTAATGAAGCCGGAATATTAAAAATGGCTTCAAACCGCTTATTATGTTCTCACCTCGACGGGCGGCTCGTGAAATACGGCCGGCTAATATGGGCCCCGGAGCTGTGGTCGGCCAATAGCTTAATAGTGGCGCTATAGACACTTTACGATTTCAAACTATTCAAAATAAATTAAACTTCAATAACTGTCGAGCTGTTGATATATTATTAATATGTATTACGAAACGGAGTAAAGTTTTTAATATTTTTGATTGGAAAAATATTTAGTATACATACATTTAAAACGGTAGATTTTAAATGAATGTATAAAAAAGCTCAGCTAATAAGAATACGCTATAAGCTTGATAGTACAGTATAAGGCTAAAGCTCTAACAACGTAACCACAAGAGAGAAACCGCCGCTCTCATACATTATTCAAAAATCAGTAGAAAAATCTAGAACAGTCTCGTGAGTCATTTTATGAAATATAACTTAAAGGTATTATTTACTTATTACTGTTTATAAATTATTCATTGCGATAAGTGTACTTTCATCATTGGCCTTCTCAAGTCTACCACTTATATTTCTGTCTCGACACTTCGTTTAAAACTCGATGATGGATGTATTACAGCATTAATTACCATTTTTGCCTCAAGTAAGTTTACTATGAATTTCTATCATCATTACGTTACTTATATACAAATAATAAAGCTTTTACGTGAGATTAAATAGATACTTTAAAATTATACGCACCTGTGTACCTTGAAACAGCTCTAACGATATGGATCAAATTTCGCATTTAGATTTGTAATTTTACATACTTATTTTCAAAAAAAAAAAACAATCGATAGCTTGGTCGCTCAGGTACCTACCTACTAATATGTTTAAAATGAGCAATTTTTGTATAAATTATATACAAAAAAACGGCTCTAATGATTAAGTCAAAGTTTGTATTTAAATTAGATTTTGCTTATTAAGTTTATCTACATAGGTGTCAATTTTTTTATCTTTCCGAAAAAACGCCGAGCTAAGTTCGGTCGCTTATGTAATGAATAATTTGGTTTTTAATCAATTTAAAAAATAGCTCTACTTTGATATAATAGTGCAATGCTGTTCTAATAACTGCAGATTATTTTCCTAATAATTTTAATTAGTAAGTATTATTCCACAATAAGCAAAGCCTTAATAAACTAAAATAACGCACTCGCTAGCGACTATAGACTTCTACATTTAGTAGAGTCAGTCCCTGAATATGATGTCATTAAAAATGAACATGGCGGTAGCAAAAACTACACAAATAATGGTCGAGACTAACGTATCATTAAATACAATAGCCCTAATTAAAACGATCTCTAGTATGTAATTTTGTGCGATGTGTGTTTATAAATAACAGAGTAGAGGTGACTTTGTCTAGAGGTTAGCATTATCATAAATTTCTCATTATTTATATCTTTAAAACCATATTTATATCTATAAGTGTTAAGTTTTGTTACAAAAGTGTTATATGTAACACTACCTTGACAGGTAATTAAAATTAATTTAATTTGGATTTTCTCGACGTATAATTTATTGTTTAATAATCATTTGTTGTTGTTTGTTTATTTGTTTGTTTCTAACCAAAATAAAATTACATATATACATATACATATATATATATATATATATATATATATATATATATATATATATATATATATATATATATTATTGTTAACTTTATAAAATCATTTCAAAAAACGAATTAAAATCAATATCAGCAAAAGTAGAAAGCAGAAATCTATAAAAATATCCATTTTAAAATAAAATCAAACATAATTTCACCAGTGTAAAGAAACTAAAACGAGGCATGTTATTTGTATATTCATATATTTTTCTTAAAATCCCCATTTGCTTTTAAAGTACCTAGTTTGTGAATCACAGGTTAATCTGTGGGACGATTAGCGAGTGACTAACGTTAATAGGTTTAAGATGGCCGTAGCTAATTCGAACGAATTAGCTATCGGTAAAACCGCACACGACGTAGATAAATTGTAATTTTATAATGTTGAAATGTTGCCTTATGCAATTTTATAAAAACTAATCTATACCTCGGGAACCGTATACTTTTCCGGGATAAAAAGTAGCCTATGTCTGTTATTCCAGACTATAATCTCTTTGCCTTTCATCAAGATCCGTTCAGCCGTTCTGGCGTGAAAGAGTAACAAACATCCATACTCACAAACTTTCACATTTATAATCTATACTAATATTATTAAGAGGTAAAGTTTGTGAATTGTGAGTTTATGACGTTGTAGGGGGTAATCTCTAGATCTACTGAACCGATTTAGATGAAATTTGGTAAGAAGATAGTTTGAGACCCTGGCAAGGACATAGGATACTTTTTATTCCGGAAATCATCCCTTAAGGGGGTGAAAATGGGGATGAAAGTTTGTATGGAGAATCAACCTGGGGACGAACCCGAGCGAAGCGAGGGTGAGTCGCTAGTATTAATAATAAATATAATATACGCATATTTATTATTTTTATTTGAAAGTAAGACAGGAGGATATTAAATGAATTTTCTAGTTAACGTACATGGTACACAAGCTTTATCAATATCTATTAGAAATATATAAATCTGTCTGTTTACCGCTTTATCATGTTCGAGCTGCTAAATTGATCTCTATGTAGGTAATTTGATAGTTAACTTACGCACCAGAGGCGGATGTAAGCTAGCGACAAGCGATAGTTCAATGGGAGTTCTGAAAATTTTCTTGAATTTCCTGTAACACTCTGACAAGATTATATATTTGATATGATTTGATTAATATGACCTACATGTAAGGTAGAGAGGTAGATAGGTAGTAATTATTAAGTTACTACATAATATGGAAGTCATCGAAATAAAACCGGGTTTTCAGGTGAGAAACCTTAAATTTTAAGGTTTTTTAATATGAAACCTAGTACACTGTAAACACATTATCGTTTTCATTTATTTAATAATAACAAAAGTGAGTACGAAGTATAATTAGAAAGAAAAATTATAAAATCTTGTTATTTAAACATGTTATTTATTGCGTAAATGTGGATTGTCACGCAAAACGGTTTCAGACTTGTAATTGTCACCTACATATATCGCATTACTGAAGTCATAGAAAATTCGTTTCGAGGTCAAAATGTTAGGAATATTTACAAGCAGTGGATGTATCTATTTTAAATTAGGTGTTTTAAAACTTGATTATTTATTATTAAACGGCCAATGATAAACTTTACTTAAATGTAAAAGTACTTAAGTATTATAAAGATAAATATTATTTTATCTTTGTAAAATTTGACTTTTATTTATAGTGAAAATTAAACATTTGCTGGTGTAATTTATTATATTTTAAAAATAAATGTGTGCACAATTAATTATATGTTAAATATTTAAATCTGTTTATTTCGTAATAATTACAAGTAGTAGGTACAAGGGAAATGGTTTTTTTTGGAAAATATTTAATTACGTAGCAGGTATATCCCTAGGAATTTAAGATTTACCTTCAAAAAATACTGTAATTTATTTTATACTTTTAACCCATAACTGCTATTTTAATATCATTATATGATTCGTTATTAGGGGAGTAATCAGTCATTTTTTAACGTCCCACTGCCTGGAACAGATCTTTTCTTAATGCGAGAGGATCAGACAATAGTCCACCAAGCTGGCCAAGTGCGATGGTAAGTCGAGTGGTAAGTACGTTGAAAACTACTTTCATATGAAAATATCATAGGTGCGAGACCTGGGATTTGAACCCGCTTCAATTGGTTTCCCAAGAAAGCGCGTTACCACTGGGCGTTACAGCGTTACTACCAGTGCCTAATAATATCACTGTATTGGGTAAATAATATTGAAAAGATGGTAAATAAACCGGTAAATCAAATTACCAAGTAGAGTCCGAGAAACGGACGAATGAAAAAGACATAAACTAAAAGCGAATAGTAGAAATCAATATACAATCGTTTTTACATTAGAAAAATATGGACTCATCGTATGGTTTTTTGTAACATAATTATCACTTCGGCTCTCTAATGTGATACCTAATTTCTTGTGTGGGTTGTGATGCGATATCTTTTATAGACCCGCTGAAGGGTCTCTCGCCTCCTATCACACTGTAACGTAACAATTCTATATTACATTTAATTTAAAAATTTGTTTTACATTTGATGAAATTATTTTTTTAAATACATATTCTGTGTCGTTTATAGTATTAAACGTATTGTTCATGATAATAAATCTGAAAATAACTAAATATATAGTACATTTTACTTAGAGCCCACGAGATATTCTGATATTTTGAGCTTCACATACGATTTTCTTTTATATACTAAAGTTTGAAACGATTGGTCTTACTTTGCTACAAGTAAAGTTTAAAATTAGGTAAAGTTACTTACATATTAGTAGATCATAATCTTAATATACCTACTAATCAAATTTGGATAAAATTTAGCACAGAGATAGATAGATATATAATATATCGATAGTTTGTATAAAAATATACATTAGTATAACTTAATGTACATATTGTAATATAC